TGTTACATGTAGTTATGGCTTTTCAAGACCATTTGGGAATTTTTGTCATGTGTGTAATAACTTCTGTGTAAGCAATGTCCGGTTGACTTTAGAACATGCTTTAAATATAGCTTATATGTTTGAAATTGTGTTAATTGGAAGTTATATATAAGTATAGGCCTATACATTTCTCCTTGACATTGGGCTCATTACTAACAACTACCTACTAACACATAAAGGTCAGAAGTCATCCTGGGAGGTCAAAGGTCCCACTGATCACCATGAATCGTCCAGCTCCAGTGGAACTGTGCCACAAGAACATGAGATTCCTTATCACTCACAACCCCACAGACAGCACACTCAGCTCCTTCACAGAGGTAAGGAAACATGTGCGTTACTGCCATCAGCACACTGCAGAGCTTCATAAAGATAAGATACACATACAACACAAACTGTATGCATTTTGTCCCTTCCAGGACCTGAAGCGGTATGGTGCCACCACTGTGGTTCGAGTCTGTGACATCACTTATGACAAAACACCGCTTGAGAAAGACGGCATTACTGTGGTGGTAAGGATGTAACACACAAACACACCATTTACTCTCTAAATCAGTCATCCTGTTACAAAATACAGTATAGGTACATAGAGTGTGAGAAGAAGTAAATGTTCTGCTTCTCTTTCAGGATTGGCCCTTTGATGATGGAGCCCCACCCCCGAGTAAGCTTGTTGATGATTGGTTGAGTCTGCTGAAGAAGAAGTTTCAGGAGGATCCAGGATGCTGCGTGGCTGTTCACTGTGTGGCTGGACTGGGACGGTAAGATACACATTAAAAAATATATGCACACACCTCCACACACATACACACACACACACACACACACACGGTATCATATTGCAATCGAAACCAAAAACACAGACTGCAAGTTACTAACCACATACAAGAACAGCAGCAGTAACCTGATCATTCAATTCCTCTTTTAAGATGCAGACAAAGTGGTGTTATTTTTGAGACATCAGACTAAACAGAAATAGACATGACTGTGTGTGTGTTTTTGGGGTTATGCCTGCATACAGGGCTCCTGTGCTGGTCGCTCTGGCTCTGATAGAGAGTGGGATGAAGTATGAAGACGCAATTCAACTCATCAGGCAGTGAGTACATTTCTATACCATATCCTGTAAATTCATCCTCATTCAGTTATAACAACATATCATTGAGTAAGAGCATTTGTTCTTATGAGTATATGTATTAAAGTGGTTTAGCATAGAGCATTTTATAATACACCACCATGTGATGATTGTACACACCTAGAACAGCTGAAACACTACATGAATGTTTTTTTTTCGTATTTCAGTATAGTACCAGCAAAAAGTCTATGTAACATTTTAGGAAAGCTTAACATCATTAAAGAATATAGGATAGCACAAACACAATTTATACACATGTATGACTATTTTATGGTGGGAATGTATAATTCTTCTCAGTTTCATCCTCCTTTCCTTTGCCTCTTCTCTCTGTCATTCTTCTCATACTCATGAATACCATGAACAACCCTGAAGTCACAAACTGTTGACTTACATTAAAATTTAAAAAGCAGTAGGGAGCATTGCTGATAGTTAACCAGCTGTCAGGTTACTGCTTAAGCACAGAAACTGAAAATTTCTTTCTTTGGTCTTCTGGTGACATTATCAAAATTTACAACAAACACAGGAGGAGCTGTAGAGACAAAGAAGGATTTTTAAAATTTTAAACTGGATTGTACAATAAGAGATTGGATATACAGACGCTATTGGCAGTCTGTGTTTACAGAGACACTGAAAGCAGAGATTTAAAAGGTAACACTATTGACTTCCACCATTTAATGTTTGTGTGCTTGTATCTTTTAGGAAGCGCCGTGGAGCCATCAACAGCAAACAGCTAACTTACCTGGAGAAATATCGATCCAAGCAGAGACTCCGCTTCAAAGACTCTCACACACACAAGAACAAGTGTTGCACCATGTGAAAACACACACACACATGCACGCACGCACCCATGCATGCACACACACACACACACACACACATGCACACAGACCCCTCAACTAATGCTCTCAGGAATCCAACCATACAAGCCTTGTTTCATCCGCATCATTAACCATGTGTACCCATGTATTCTTACAGCAATTTAATCAGAATCCATCTTTGTTCTCTTGTTTGTAATGATTTCTCATCTTTTAAAGTTTACTTTATTGGCATCTTTGTTTCATTATATAGTTTACAGTGAGGAAAGGTGGGAAAGACAGATGAGGGCTAGAAATCACATAAAAGTTATATTTTGTAGCTAACTGTTGAGGCATATCTGCTTTATTAGACAGTTCTGGAAAAGACACAGTTGGGTCAGGGATAATGTGCCGAGGCTTTTGTATCACATTCAAAACACCAACAGATTTGATGTGGAACTGATTTATGATACATACCTGATGTTATTGGCCTTCAAAACCTCAAATCATCCCTGATATTTTGTGAAAATACCATTGAATGTTTATTATTTTGTACAGATGTTCAATATGTTTAAAGATAACCATAACTGGGGTATATAATCACATGCAGTGTTTCTGTAAGTGTTTCTTTGAGATTGTTTTTGGTTTAAACAATTATGGCAGACTAAAAAAAAATCATCTTAGCACCTCAGTGTTTTTTCTGTCAATTAACGTCAATACTCCTGGTAGACCCACTTCCTGGTGGTGTTCTCAGTGTAACTGGAGATATAAGGGCTCATTTTCATCCCAGCATTACAATCAGTATGAAAATCATATTTTGTAATGCTACAGTATATTTGATTTTGGTGAACATAAAGCCTTGATTTGGTTTTGTCACATTCACTGTTTTAATATTACATTATACACTGGGCTCATATAATGTGTTTACATATCTGTGTGTGCATTATGTTATGCTCTGTTTACTGACACCCACAGATGGAAACTTATTTGTTAGCAGCAGCTGATTTCAAGCAAGGTTAAACATAGCACTTATATGTTATATAAATAGGAAAATGTTGATAAATCTATTGTAATCCTACAGACATTCAAAAATGTAATCTAGATGTAAATAATATTAAACGAGGGATCTCTAATTATCACCTTCTTCTATAAGGCAAGGTGAGTCACCCCTCCCATTTCAGTGACTACAAAAATGCATAAAGAACATTAAACCATTGCTTATTACAAATATTTTTATATATCATGTGGTCAGGGAGCAGCTGATGACAATGACTAGTCAAGCTCTCAGTTTTAATCCCAGGCAAATTTTGGCCTGATACCTATGTGGATAAATTGAGATATTGGTTTAATCCATCGTCACATCTTTTAGACTTTCATTTTCTTTTGAGGTGGAGTTTACTTATTCATTTGTATTGTTCCTGAATGATACATGTAAACAACTGCTTCTGACATTTCTTTCATTTTTCATTCAGAATTGATTCATGTTTTTTTGATGATGACAAAGCATGCACTTTTCATGTATTAGTAGGTTGCTTACGATATTCACCTTATCATCTGCGTTATGAAAAACATCTTCAACCTGAAGAACAATTTGTGAGGAAGAAATGAGAGCAGAGGGCATAATTTGAATTAGGAAAGGGGGTCATACCATCTTTACCTGAAAGCTCAGTTTTAAACAAATTGGCTGCTTGTTCATTTGATGTGTGTGTGTGTGTGTGTGTGTGTGTGTTTGTTTGAATATGTGTGTGTGTGCTTGGTAGCCTTTAGGTGTTGTTGCTCATTGGGGCTGGCCTGAGCTGACACTTTTTTTTTAATGTAAAAAAACGAATGCTGTAAATGTCTGTAAGTCTGTAAATTCTTGCATTGTTTAATAAAGGTTTTGTCATTGTCCCTGTATGTTCATAATTGTTCATCAGTTCCTCCGTCAGTTCATCAACATTTGTATGGTCCCCTGTTTTGTGGCCTTATTAAGTTAAATTTTTCTGGAAATTATTTTTGTCACAACTAATGGATTTATACACGTATGTAAAGCCAGTCTATAAACTTTATGCTAAACCATTTACTGTGGCATTATAACAAACCACAGAGCAGTGGGTGGGCCTTGGCATTTGATTAGCATTCTAATATGACTATAAAAAGAATACTGCATACTTTAAAATCATAAATTAACAAATATTAATGTATTTGCCTTGGTAATAAAACTTTCCTTAAATTTCTGTATCTCATTATTTTTACATAATTGTTTGTTTCTTCATCAAATCAAGGTTTGAGTATGAGCATACAAGTTTTTGATGGTGGTACCAACTGGCTTGCTCTGTTAGAAACCTTGTAGAAAGGAGGACTGAGGCCTTAAAGGATAATTAAATGACATATTAGCAGCAGTAAGTTCTAAAACATTTTTGTCACAGTCAAAATCAAGCTGTCTTACATTTGTCTGTACAAGAACATTTTAAAGACACTGAACATAAATGAAGGCAAATGTTAATATAAATTATTCTCTTTGTAACCTGCAACTTAAAACTGTGTCTTGCCCATTTGATACCTTTATTTTTGGGCAGCACTTTTCCAAATAAGTCATTGACCATATAATTCTCTAAGTAATGATTTTCTAGTCAAATAAATGTTTATATAGAAAAAGTCAGACATTTCTCAGCCATGTTGTAGCTGTTGTCCCGTTAACAGCAATTTTCCCCCAGTTATTTTCCCATTATCCTTACTGTATCTTGTAACCTATATTTTGATATGACCTGTATTTGTTGCACTACATAACCACCATAAATGTAACATTAGAGCAGGAATTACTCTGTGAGGTTCCCACAATTTGTCGTAAAAGTTTACGGTGTTGAGGCCTCTTGACACAACGTTCAACAAATTAAAATATTGGTGAAAGAATTCCTGGGCTAAACTGTGTTGAATGCTGCAGTTCCCTTTCCAGCCACAATACAGTCCTCCCGCCACAGAGGGCGCCGTCCTCTACACTGCCACCACGTCCTGTGGTGTCGGTGTTCCGCTGGTTGGGAGGACTTGTGTCGCAGATTCGACAGAAATTTCCTCATACGTAATGTGAAATTAGGCTCTAAATCCAGATTCAGAGATTATATTTGGTCATATAATGGCTCAAGTCCATTGATAAATTAGCGTTATTTTGCTGTTTAAGCGCGGGAGGAATGGATGGACGAAAAGCAGGTAAGAATTTGAGCTAGCTTCAACTCGAATATGTTTGTCGGGTCTTCATTTTAGCTTGGGTCAAAAATAAACAAACACGTCTATATTTAAGACGTGTCCCTGCGCAGATTTGTAGTCTTGTATTTTATGTTCACATTGTAGACATTATTAACAGACTGTCTCTTGTTTAGTAAAGGTACAAGCGGTATTTAGAGTTAGGTCTGACACTGGACAGCTGTTTGTAGGCTGTACTGATGTGTCCGTTGACTAACGTAGGTCCTAAGTGTCAGTGTTGGACTGCGACCGTTAGATGAGATGAGACAGCCTCAGAGTGTGTGGGCAGAGAGAGAGGAGAGATCATCAGCCTCACTTAAAGACAAAATACATCATCAGACACTTAAAGCTTGCTCATGTTTCCATGGCTTCGTTTTTCCGTTACTGTGATGGGCAGTTCCACAAGAAAGAGTTTTAGGAAATGAAACATTTTAACTCACAACAAGATAATTGGATGGACTAAAGAGCTGCTTAATTGAGGCTGAGCTCACTGTTACAGCTGTTGTCTCATACAGTAGGACAATTTGTACAAGTCTCTCCTGGAAAAAAAATACATTTGATATTAGCGCTGCAACGATTAATCGATCATTGAATCAACAGAAAAATAATTTACAAGTATTTTGATAATAGATTACTTGTCAAAGTAGATTTTTGATGCAAAAATGGCAACTGTTCAAATCGTATGAAAATAAATTGGTTAACCTCTTCCCTCCCATTCCCTTTATTCCCCCCATTTACATGTTTTTGTTACATATACAATATGAAAATCAAGTTTACAAAGAAGAAAGAGACGAAATCACTGCCATTTCCACACATACACAAATACAGACTTACCCTGAACTATTTAAGTAAAAAACTATAACAGGAAAAATATAATACTTTAGCAGAATTTTCATTGTCTCCCTTGTTTGTGGGGTAATTTTATTTTTCTTTGAGGTATATACTGTTTTAATGCTTATTACTGTACTACTGTTGTTATTTAGTCATCTATTTGGCCCCTTAGAGTCTGTCATGTCAAAAAAAGACCACTTTCCTTGCAGGGTGTTGCACAGGAATAGAGAATAGAATTCATGAATATAAATATGAGGTAACTTGATACATTGGGCCCAAATATAACAGTCTGCTTCACTGCTATGAGGCAGGCAAATTATGCTAATCTCTCTCATTTTTCTCATTCTCTAATTTAATTCTAAATTTAAAATGACTCTGTTTCCTCTCTGGCCCTCTGAAACTGATACCTTCCTTCTCCTTGTCTTTCTAGCTGGTTCTGTGTTCATGTGCCGGCTGTGCAACCTCTTCTCTCCCAGTCGCTCTCAGCTGCTGGCCCATTGTTCCCAGCAGCACCCCCAGCAGGAACCTCCTGATGACATCATCATTGCGCTGCAGCCCCTGGTAGCAGAGCCTGTGGAGACGCTGGCAGGTCAGATTAGTGTATCATTGCCAGGACTACTAGTACAGGAATATGTAAAAAAAAGTATTCTGTGTCATAATCATTATTACTACATTCACTAATTTGAGGATGGATTGGACTTTGACTTGATTGCAGTCGATAAACATTAGTGTAGGACTTAAGCCGTATGAAATTAATTGTCCAAAGTTATTACAAGTGAATTAAATGCAAACCAAATACAAATGTGAAAAGTATACACTATACTATACTGTTCATAGTAATGAAACTTTTTTTCATTGTCCTCCGGAGATGACAATGGAGTTCAGTGACACAAGGCAGAAGCTAAAGTAGACTGGGTCTTGGCTACAGAAGGTTTGGTCTTGTAGGGAGATTTCTTATCAAAAAACAAAAAGATGGGGAAAGTGTTCTGCTGTTTTGTTGGCCCACAGAGAACCCAGTGAAGCGAAAGCGAGGACGACCAAAAGGCTCTACGAAGAAAACACGCACTGATTTGACAGAGTGCAAGGCTGACTCCACCCATTCTCCAGATGATAATTTTCAAAGACATGAAGAAGGGAATAAGAAGGAAGGAGACAAACAATGTAGCTCAACAGAAGGTAGTACTGTTGCCACTTTTATGTATCCCATAATCCTTTCTTTTTCATACAGAAGACAAGAACAAGCACTTGCAATATGCCTTGTTAGAGTTTATGGCCAATTTTTTAAAGTTTAAAGGCTATACTATTACAGCAGCATTGTGTGTCCAAGGCTAACTTCCTTATGGACAGTGTTATTTTTTTCTGAGTAAACATGTTTTTGTCATTATGCTAATCAAACTGTTTCCTGCACTCTATATTTCGACTCTTTTTTTGTGTCCTTCCGCTAGGCGAAAGGCACGATGGGATTTCGGGACTTGACTGTAGAAACTGCCATCGCTCGTTCAGAAACAGACGACAGATCCTCAAACACATCTGTTTGAGAGAGGAGGAAGAGGAGGAGGACGAAGAGGAGAATGGTGAGGAGTGAAACATAAGTTTGGATGATGTGAGGGAGAATTTTAGGACTTATTCTTACTACAATTATAGATTCTTAAATACATCTGTGTTATGTACAGGTGTTGGGGAAAAAGTACAGAAAATATTGTTCATATACATTTTTGTACTTGGCTATTCAGGCGATAGTGATTAAATAACCATCATTTTCAGGGAGCATCCATGTTGGAGCAGGAGTTGAGGGCTCTGGGAGTTTGGACCCCGCGAAAGCTGATCCAAAACAGATGCACCAAAACCAAGTGAGGTCAGGACTTCTGAGAGAAAAAGGTAAATTTAACATCAGGATTGTTTCTTCAAATGAATTGATACTTCTGTCTGAAAACATAGGAGGTGATGGATCTGTCCTGTGATGGGTATTTACTGTATATCATAAGAAGACGTTCAGGTTTAGTTTTATAGTCTTATAATCTTGTTCTTTGCTTGTAGATGTGAGCAGCTTTAGACCCCTAAGAAGCAACCGAAGCCGCATCTCCAAAGAGGGAGGCCCAGCAACAGGAAGCAAAAAATCAGTCATCAGTGTTGTTCTGAAGGAAGATGAAACACTTCCAGGTGAGTCTTTTTTGTACTAGTTTTTACATTTTGGCTAACATATGACTCCACTGCTGTAGGCAGTATGTCTTATGAATAATGTTACCTTTATTTCAACAGGTGTTTCTAAAATGGTTCCAGTTGAGGATGGTTTAGCAGAACCAGAGTCTAAAGCCATCAAAACTCAACCTCAGGTAAACCCAGGAACACACAGAAACATTCACCCAAATTACAAAAAGATCTATTTTTCCACTTACCTCTAGTCATACGTAATTGACCAGATAGCCTTAGTTTTATTTTCCCAAAGTTTTGACATATCGCTCTCTTAAGATTTTTGGCCCACCACCCTAAGTGTTTATTTACTTTTTATTGTCATTCAACAGTCTGCAGTCTTTCGCAGTCAGTCACAAGACCTTGCAAATGAAGCCACCATCTGTGAAGATAACCCTAAAACTGACCAGGAGCTGAGGTAATTTAATGGAAAATATCCATCTCTCATATAATTATTTGATTGTAATACATAATTGATGGTCCAAATAACAAATTGTCAGCAAGTTTGATGAAAATCTGACAATAAAGCATTAAATCTCATTGTCTATGATACAAACTAAACAAACAGTGAAACGAACTTGAGAGCTGACTAATCAGTTGCATGCATAAATACTGTTTTACAGCAGTTTTAATTTCTTCGTGAAGTAGTTTAACCATCAATGTTATCTGCTGTCAGCAGTCTGATCCCTTTGTTTTCAACTCCTAGTTCTAATCCAGCCTCCACAACAACAACAACAACAACAACAACAACAGCAGCAGCAGCAGCAGCAGCAGCCACCAGCAGAGGCTTCCAGGAATATTCTATCAAGCAAGATGCTACCAAGTACTGTATGAATGTTTTTTATTGAATGTATTAATGATGGTTTTATTTTATAGTAGTTTGGAGGTCAAGTATAACTTCAAGCTCCTGTGTAAACTACAAACTTAAATACTGATGTGAATAAATCAGGTTCTAATTTAACAAATTTTCATTTAACAATTTTCTAAAAGAAAATAAATGTTTTCCTACTTTTTATGAGGTAACGTTTGTTTTCTTATTGGCATGTTGTTGTCTGTGCAGCCTAGCTGAAGACAAAGTAACAATAACACTGGTCAACTGGTAAATGTAATATTCTTGCTCTCTGTCTCCCAGTTTACCTCAGAGCCAGCTGAAGATCTTCGCCTGCGAGTTCTGTAATAAGATCTTTAAGTTCAGACACTCACTGATCGCCCACCTCAGGACACACACCCAGGAGAAACCGTTCCAGTGCCCACACTGTGACTACGCATCAGCCATCAAAGGTACATCCAAGCTCACTGGCACACAAGCAAAGAAAAATGCCAGCAAAATAATTAATGAATCTGTAAAAACTTACTTACCTCTTTACTTACTTATTTTCTTACTCTTCAAAGCCAACCTGAATGTTCACCTGAGGAAACACACGGGAGAGAAGTTCAGCTGTCAGCACTGTCCTTTCAACTGCCTCAGCCCCGGACACCTGAAGGTGTTCCTTTATTACTGTTTTTATTATTATTATTATTATTATTATTGTTGTTGTTAACTCCTTTTAGTTCTAGGTTGCTATGCAGTATATTATCACTTATCTTCATACTGCAACACAGCAGTATCTCACTGTGACGTGTCAGTTGGATTTCTAATGCTCTTGAGCATGAAGCTGCAGCCTTTCTGGTTTCAGCTGTAATTCTGTGTTTTTGGCAATGCAGGTCCACATAGAGCGGGTCCATTTGAAGGTGAAGCAGCACTGCAGCTTCTGTGACAAGAAGTACTCAGATGTGAAGAACTTACTGAAACACATAGAGAAACGGCATAACCTGAAAGACCCTGCTGTCTACCAGAGCTACCAGCAACTGAGGTGTGACCTGTAGTGTCTAAAAATTAAATTCACCTGTATCTGTTTAACCAACTGAGCAACCGGCCTTTCTCATTTGTTTATCTTTTCTAGGTTAAAGACTCGTCAGGGCCTCAGACAGCTCCTGTACCACTGTCCCACCTGCAACCGACGCTTCAAGAATCAGCTCGAACGGGAGCGCCACCTGTTGGTCCACGGGCCTCAGCGTCCCTTTGCCTGCCTGCTCTGTGACCATGCCGCAACCAAGATGGACGCCCTCACCGCTCATGTCAGGAAACACCTCTTCCTGTACATGTGCTGTGTGTGTGACGGGAAGTTCGTCAGCTCTCAGAGACTGAAGAGTCATTTGAAAGAGTCTCACCCTGAGCTGGACCAGGAGCAGGCCTTCACCGACTGTATCAATAACAGCTACTATCTGATACAGCCTGGAGGAGGCGTGTGGGGGGATGATGAGAGGGACACAGAGAGAGGGAAGAAGGAAGAGCACAGGATAGAGCAGGAGGGTGAAGATGACAGGATGACAGAGGAGGGTGGAAGAAATGGTGTCGGAAGGGAGGAGTGGCAAGATGGGGAAGTGGAACAGCTGGAAGTACCAGTGAGGGAAGAGAGGGAGCAAGAGAGGGAAGAAGCTCAAGCTCAGGGTGAAAATGCGGAAGAAGTACAGGTGACAGACAGAGAGACAGGAAAAGAGGAAGAAGTCAAAAATGGAGGCGCAGAGCAAGGTTCCCAAGAAGTGATTTCCATAGAAACCACAACTCCCACTGACACACAGGACGAATCAACAGCTGGGGAGCAGTCACAGGCCAGCACAGTGGACTCATGCAACCCTGCAGCTGAACATATAGTCAGACACGAACACAACACACAGACTTTTCTATCACCGGAGAGCATTCACAGCCCTTTCCCTGAGAACAGGTCCCAAGAAAACACACCTTCAGCCAAAAACACTCATACAACTTCATCATCAGGAAATGCAAATTTACCTGATCCGGGCGTAAACATACCTTCATCATCAGCACCTTCAGGGGAAGAGGGCCAAACTCCACATTCAGAGAAGGTAAATCAATTGCAGGTATTGTCGGCTGTTTCTGTCTGTCCTGCAGATCTTTTTTTTTTTTAGAACAGTAATGGGGCTGCAACCACGAGTAAAATATCAGAAAACAGTTTTGAATGTCCATCACACTTTCCTAGAGCTCAAGGCAATGTCATGAAGTAACTCGTTCTGTCTAACAGTCTAAAACCCAAAGATATGTAATTTAATATATATAAAGATATGTCATTAAATATAATGATTATACAAGAAAAAGCAGCAAATTTTCACTTTTGAGCTACACTCTAAAAAAAGAGAATGTTTGGGATTTTTTATTTGAAATAACTCAACAACTAATTGATCATCAAACTAAATTTTCAACTAATCAATATGAAACACTAGCAGACAGATATATCAGAATTATTGATGATCCTTACAGTAAGTAACGTCCTTCTGTATATACTGTATAGAAAGGGTGATGATGAGGCAATAATTATGTAAGAATTATGCCTCAGTGATTTGTTAATATTTATTAATGTCATCAGTTAGTAAATATAAATAACAATATTACACCAATATTACTAAACACAGTAGAAATTGCTTATTGATAACTCCACATATAGCCTCAGCTATTTTACACTGTTGCTTTCTTGATCCTATTAGATTAGTAATGCTGTACTTGATGATTTGATTTGATTAGACTACATTTCACTTATTCATTCATGTGTCTGAATTAAGTAACTCATCTTAGAAGAACTCATCTTACTTTCAATCATCCACTGACTGCTCTTTGTTTTCTGCTGGCAGGAGTCGGAGGTTTTCCATCAGAGCGCGTTTCAGCAGGTGTTTTCATCTCTTCAGAAGACTCAGCTTAATATAGAGACTTACCAACGGCTCAGGAAAATTTACGGAGACCTTGAATGCCAATACTGTGGTGAGATAATGAAATTCCCTTCAGTAGCCTGGTTTTGTTCTGTTCTGTTTTAATTTCACTTTGTACTACATCTTATTATTTATTACTTAGCCTTTCCCCTATCTGGCTTGGGTGTTAAACAGTGTCTGCTGCTTCTAATCATGTTTTTTTTCCTGCTGCACAGGTAAACTGTTCTGGTACAAAGTCCACTATAACGTCCATGTACGCACACACACCAAGGAGCACTCACATTACTGTACAAAGTGTAGCTACTCGTCCATCACCAAAAGCTCTTTAAAGCGGCACCAGATCCAGAAGCACAGTGGCTTGCTGCTGCCTTGTTCTAATCCCGATTGTAAATACACCACACCTGACAAATACAAACTACAAGCCCATCTGAGGACGCACCAAGAACAGGTAACCAGCCTGAGGAGATTCTAATTATTCAGAGAAGTATTAGAGATTTTTTTTTTTTGATACACTGCTAGTATAATTGCAAGTTAATTGGTTTTCAAGAGGTGGTATGTTTGTTATTTGAAGTTTATTAACTCCCTTGGCCTGCCGTCCACCTCTGCTACCATGGTTACAGTATATAATCCCATCCCGACTACCTCAGAGAACCAATAGTCCTTTGACTTTGACCATGACCTGGAAGAACACTCCAAATGTGGTTATGTGTCAGTTTAGATTTACACGTTTGATCAACATTTTAATTTATTTGCAATAAAATGCAATGTATGTGAGCATTAATCAAAGCAAATTTGTTTTACCTATTAATTCAGTGAAGGATGCAAAATTAACTCTTGAAGTCTTTGTCTTTCTTTTGGTTTACAGGGGAAGAGTGTGGCCTGTCCAGTCTGCCAGCACAGCTATCCAGAGCACAGACTAAAACACCACATCAAAACATCCCACCCAGGTAAATAACACACAAATACATCTATACACATGGACAGACAGACACACAATGACCTGTTCATGCCTCTTAGTATCTTCTCCTGAAACAATTTCAAGACTGTCCTTTAAATCAGTGTCAGTATTCACATGTGTCTACTCTCCACTGTCGGCCAAATCCAGACTCCAGGGTGGAACCTTTCACAGAGCCAGTAAAACTGACAGCTTGGCTATTTTTACTTTCTCTGTTGTTAGAATATCACTGCAGTGTGTCATCTTCTAGTTTTATTATATTGCAACTCATTGTAATGATAGAGTATACTATTTGTTGCCTGTTTATTACAACTTGGAATACCCCCTGTTATTTATGGAACAATAGCTTGATATGGTTTGATCTGTGGAAACATTCTCTTGGCTTTGAATCACAGATATCACAAGAGACTGACCTAAATAGCTTGTTGCATAGTCAGGTTCAGTTGTTAACAATCAGATGCTTTTAAGGTCACAAGTGATTTTACAATATTGTGATTTCATTTTGTGTGCGTGTGTGCGTGTGTGCGTGTGTGTGTGTGTGCGTGTGTGTGTGTGTGTGTGTGTGTGTGTGTGTGTGTGTGTGTGTGTGTGTGTGTGTGTGTGCACGTGTGTGTTTGTGTACATGTATGTATGTGTCGGACAGATACATTGCCTGTGCAGGGAAAAGGACTGATGGTGCAGCGTGCAGAGAAGTGCCCTTACTGTGACTCCTACTTCCTAAAGAACAGCAGTGACTTTCAGCAGCACATCTGGGCCCACCAAGGTGTGATATCCCTCTACCTTTAACACAGACAAACCCACAGTCTGGAGAAACACATCTGGGCCCATAATTGTCCATACGCAGCGTTTCACTGTTTGATTACTGTGTGAGTTGAGCTTCCATCTACTCTTCCTCCTGGCTGCCCTCCAGGAGGACGGGCTAGACTGAAAACACACTGCAGACGTTGCAGGAGGAAATTGGCCTGTGGGTCAATTTGTGAAATGATGAGAACACACACAAACCAAATTGTCGTCTTGTGTGCTGCTGGCATTATCTCAAAGATAAAGAATGAGAGGTGGAGCAGTGAAGTTAGACAAAAGTTACAAGACATGCTGTTTTTCAGTTAAGGGCTGTTTTAGACAAGTGCAATGTGTATTAGTCTCTACAAAACACATGTAACTTTTGTTCCACCATATGTTTTCTTCTGTGACTGATAACCCACTGTGCAGCTGATGGTTGGTTGCTGAAATTGATTAATACAAAAACCATGGCTACATCCTTCTCTCCTCACTCCCTGCTTTAACACTTGCTTACCTCGATGAGCTGTTTACCTTGAGTTACATCTGTCACGAAGCTGTGGAACCTGGCAGACACAAGTCCAGAGCAGGTGTTGAGGAAGGGCTCAGTGAATGCAACCAATTTACTGCAGTGCATATGCTGTTTTTTAGCTAGTTTATTTGTCTTTAATTTTTGCTTTTTCCTGCCAATGTTCTTGCCACTTTCACATCCCTGCTGTCCTATATTCTTATTGTCTTATCTTTGCTGGGCTGCTGCTAATCTGTTTGTAAACCTGTCTCCATGTGTGTAGGTCTGAAGCCATACCTCTGTAGTGTGTGTGACTACGCGGGCCGCAGTAGGAGTAACCTGAAGACTCATATGAACCGACACAACACAGAGAAACGTCATCTCTGTGATCTGTGTGGTAAAAAGTTCAAATCTAAAGTGACACTGAAAAGCCACAGACTGAGCCACACCGATGAAGGTACACACACTCTGCTCTGTCACTGATGATGATGATCTTTTTTTGAAATGCCATTGTTGTCACTCTGTTTTATAATGTTTGTGTTCTGTATGCCGCAAGTATTCTGTTACTCCGCTAGCTTAGCAGAAATTTGAGAAAGTGTAAAGTGATGATAAAAATTAAGGGCAATAATTCTGTTTGTTCAGGGAAGCGGTTTCAATGTTCGGAGTGCGACTTTACCTCGGTCTCTAAACCTTCCCTGCTCAGACACATGGAGCAACATGCTGAATTTAAGGTCAGAGTACACACACAGCCACACACACGCTTTATAGCCTCAGCATATAGAAATAACGTTGTACAAATTTATATCTCTTGTAAAATGAATAAAATGACCTAAAAAAAACTCATTCATCTTGTTTGTTAAACAAACACATTAATTTAATGATTCATTTTTTAATTTTTTTAATATGTAACATATTTTTGTAATATGCTACCAATGTGATCCAACAATAGTATTTTATTTATATAGTTTATCTATGATCGATTGAATCTCACTCACTGTGTTCTTTGTTCTGGATATTAAAGATTGGTCAACCATTGGCTATTGTATTGCCACTTTCTCAACCAAAATTAAACAACAGTGCAAATGGGTCATAAAGCTAACCTAAGTTCCTCCCTGGTCATTTTTTTTGACAAAATAGTTAATGAGTTGTTCAGAAAAATCAATGAATGTTTCAGAGTCAGTTGTGTTCTACTGATATTTCATTTGAATTTACTTATATGTGTTTTCGTCTATCCCTGTAGCCATTTCGTTGTGCCTACTGCCACTACTCCTGTAACATCGCTGGTCCCCTGAAGCGTCACTACAACTTGAAACACCCAAATCAGAAATATGAGAATGCCGGACCTGGGCAACCTAACCCTGATGCTCTGAAACAGCAAGGTCTGGTCTTTACTTTCTCACTGCTATTTCCAGAACCTTATGTTCTTTAAAGTAATATCTAAAGTCTTAACAAAACAGAAAGGGTCTAAAGCTTTTGTGTGTACCTGTGTTTAGGTGGAATGAAGTGTCCTGAATGTGAATTTGTTTATGGCACCAAGTGGGAGCTGAACCGCCACCTGAAGAGCAAACACAGCCTGAAAGTGGTGGAAGGCACCTGGGAGGTAAACAGTATAAACACACATTCTAGATACAAAGAAAAAGGGCACTGAGTTATTTTTCCTTATCACTGAAAATGATATTTCTTTTTTTTTTTATTTTAAAACTGCTGTCAAAATATGAGAAGCAAGAACAGCTTGCTAACTTGACCTAACTTGACCATGTTATCATACATTAGTACCAGTTTCACATTTACACACAGTTACCAGTTTTCAGGATCATACAATATCTGCCATATGTATAAATATCCAGGCAGGTGAGACAGTAGAGGCCCAGTATGTTTCTGTGGAGGATGAAGAGCAGCTGACAGAAGCACCTGTAGCAGCCCTGCACGACAACGGTAACAACAGCATGTAGCAGATAAGTGACTCAGCCAAACCCTGCAAACACCAGGCACCTTTTTAAAGATGATTTCTGCTCAGATAATCGAGGAAGGGCTGTTCATTGCTATTCCTATTTATGCTTGTTATTAATGTGCTTTAGTTTATGTCCTATATAACACATTGTCTTCTGTGTTCAGTTAATATCCAGCAGATCACTGAGTTCAGTTCAGAGACTCACGACGCTGTCACCTCCATGGTCGCCATGGCTCCAGGCACTGTTACTGTGGTACAACAGGTAAAAATCATCACATAGCTCACTCAGGAAACAATGAGTGTTTACAACAAAATGTTGATGTTGAGTTGTTGCCGAAGTTGCAGGTGGCCGACGAGCAGGAGATCGGTAACTGCAGCAACCAGCTGATGGTGGTGAATGCAGAGGGGAGTCTAACTGGTGACCAGGTCATGGTGGTGGAGGATGCACACGGCCTGGAGGCTCTGACAGTCCTTACTCAGGGAGAGAACACTCACCACTATATTGTCTACGTTCAGGAACACACTGTAGAAATCAACTAATGATGCTTGTATTTTAACATATGATTATTGATCCATCAGTGCTGAGTATATCAATGATTATTAGATCAGTTTACAACATAAAATGTACCAATAAGCAATAAAATCAGGATTTACTGAATGTTTCTTAGTCATCATTAGAATTTTCTTCATCAGTTTTATTTTTCAGTCACTTGGTAATTATGAAAACAAAAAGTGCAATACTTTGTTTTGTGATTATGTGACATATTTTGTACTTACAATACAGTACAGTATATTTAAATAAAATCCGTGTGCTGCAGTGTTTTATGCTCTGGAGTGAATTCAATTCTCCAAAATGTTGATTAAGGTCGATTTCAGATGTTGCTCAAAATTTCTTGAACCTCAAACATTTTTTACGAACATTATTGTGACACACTTTTAACCCTAGTAGTCTAGAGCAGAAGAAAGTGCTGAACATAAAATGAAAGAGGAAAAGCCAGCTTTTGGAGAAGCAGCACCTTGCATTATGATTTCAACATAGCTGTTTTTAGTGTTTTATGGTTTAGAAATAGGCACCATATTGTGCTATATGGCACACTAAAGTGTAAAGACTTGAATACACAAATCTGAGATCTATTAATTTATGGAACAATATGTATGAATAGTGTTTACACATACACTGTCATAAGTCTGAAAAAGAGATCATATAACCCTTGCCATCATGCAGAATATTAAAAACAGTATACTGACACATTATGGAAAATGATCTGTTAATACTTTTTTTCCGGTAATACAGAGAGAACGAAATGAGATGAGTGCAAAGATTTTGAAGTTTGTACCATCATGTCGACAGGTTTGTCTGGTGTTTCAGTCTCAGTCCAGTAGGTGGCGGTGGCGCGCTTAGTGTCCTGATGCCGGCTGCCGATACATAATGTAGAAGAAGAAGAACTGGTGGGAAATTTGACAGTGCGGGAAAGACTGTTGTCCATAATACAGTAAATATATGACTCCAAACAAACGTTAACCGTGAAGTTAACAACGTGAAGTTAACACGAGTTTACACGAGATGGACCGGTATGTGTTGGTTATTTCCTGTTGTCAAACTGACGACGACGTGGCGGAGGACGATACATGTGAGTTTGAAACAAGTTATAGATGAGTGCGTATGTTAGCCAAGTTTAGTTTAGTTAGCTAGTGGCTCAGACAGTGTGTGGATAAGTTACACTAACTCTAGGTTAACGAACTTGGGTTTGACTAGAGCAGTGCTAAATATCTAAGGCACACTGGCAACCTTTCTTCAGATCCGTTTGGTTCAGGAGAGAGTTGAGTCTCATACTTTTGGCTTGTAAACATTTCAGTTAACCAGTCAAAACCTTTTTACAGTAAAAATTTATTTAAAAGTTGGCAACTGAAGAGGATTCAAACTAACAAAAAACCCTTAAATGCATTTAAAGTTTTTTTTCTGAGATTACATTGTCTAAATGATTAACTATTTATATGTTTTTAGTCTGAAATAAACCGGTAGTCTGGCTAGCATGAAGCCTGGCAGCTCAGTTGTTGTTGTTGTTCACAGGTCTGGAGCCAGTGAAGCGCATATATGACAGACTGGTGGACATTTCAACCCAGGAGTCAGTAGGGATCTCTGTGTTTCCAGGTACAGTAACCGTGTTCATTTTTTCCCTGCCTGACTTCAATGCAGAAACCCTCCTTAACGTTTTTCCTCTGCGTTTTTCTTTTTTTTTTTTTTAGCTTGTTCTCTAAATGGCAGCCCATCAGCCCAGAGGTGGTACTTTGCTGTTCAGGCTTGCCAGGGAGTATCACAAGTAAGACATAAAGGAGAGAACCAAGACCATATTTCCAAACAGTAATTTAGATTTCAAGGAGTTGCGCATTAGCACCTATCTGTGTGCTTTTTTCCCCAATTTGTGAGGCGGTAAAAGTCTTTGCCCAGAAGACTTCTGTGTAGAATAAGGACTGAGAAAATATGTTGCCTCAGTACTCAGTAAGCTAGCTTTTGTAGTGAACTCCTGGCCCTAATCATATGTAAAGCATCTATTATAAAAACTAAGTGATATCATGTAGTTTTTGTCACAGCAAAATCTTTCTTAGGCAGAGGCTTAACTTCATTAGCTTTAGTATAATATATAAAAGACATCATTAAGTCTATGTTCAACCTAAATTGCACAGCTGCAACACAAGCACCTTGTTATTATAATGTATTATAATGTTCAGTGCTGCTGATCTTTCCTACACTGTATCAAGTTTTCTGACAGTAACTCATTGAACTACTGCTTTTGTGGTGGTGGATAGTGTCCTCAGTAATTCTGAAATACTTTAAACAAATGATCATAGCATATTGTATCTGTTCTTTCATCTTAGTTACTAAATTGTCAGAACAGCAACAAATCAACTGATAATATGAAAATTATTTTTATAGAAGCTGCCACAGCCACGATACAGCAGCAAGATTACAAAATATACAATATATAAAACACCTGTATACCTATATAAACACACCTGTACGTTACGTAAGTGAATATAATAGTTTAACGAATTCAATGCAGGTCAGCTAAACTGATTTTGTTTTCCAGTCCACTCCAGTTATTAGGTGATATTAACACAAAAGGTTACTTTCTAAAGATTTTAATCCTTTGTGCAGTTGTGCACACCTTGTGTAATGAGCAGATAAAAAAAATCAAAAAGGAAAACTGAATTATTTATTACATTTATTAGTCCTGAATGTATATCCATTGTTTTGTAGTTTTGCAGCTCGGACTGGGAAGAGTTGGGCACAGGCCATCAGAAACCTGACAGTGAGGAGGCGAAACCTACTGCTGTGGAGTCATGTCTCAGTTCTCTGAGTAATCAGGAGGCACTGGATCAAAAGGCTGACCAGCCAACACTGACAGAGTGAGCGACAGATGTTTTCTGTTCTTTATGTAAAGAAATAGGCTTGTTTTTTCTGCTTTGTGTTGAAGGATTGTGCCAAACACATAAATGTGGGTAGTCATAAAACTGATGTTATCTGAATTTGTTATAGCATACTGATATTATCTCAACATATTAAATTATTAGAAAGATCTACATTTTATATAAAGACCATTTCCTAATGTGTAGGTCAAAAGTAGATGGAAACTTGTGTGAAGATCTTAAGAATTAAAGTCCTGGTGTTCGGGCCATTTTGGCCAGTGGGCCCCCCAAGTCTTTCTGATGTGGTCTGAATGACTCTATTGAACAGGTTGTTGGAGGAGGCTGCAGAAGGACTGCATCTACTGTCAGACAAGCTACCACCCCCAGGTACAGTGGACCTTTGAGTTACTGTATGCTATCATTTTGTATCTGTTTTTTGTACTGATGTTAACTGTGTTTTTTTTCATCAATTGTGTTGAATCCAGAATACTTCCACACATTTCTTCATGATTTTGCTTGTTATGGTTATCTTTACAGCATGGCTCGCCAATTTTCTTCACTTTGCCTGAGAACAACAATCATATAGTTTCCTGATGGGACAACGCAGCAAGAAGTTAGATTACTCCATAAAACAATGTGTCCAGTTGGTATTTTGTCTTAGCCAAAAGCTGCCAATAGTGTGGAATTAAATCCTCTTTACTGAAGCCAAACTCCTCAGCTGTGTGACAAGGATCCGGGCCAATTTCAAGCGAATATATTTTGAAAAACTGCCTGCCGCAGCCCTGTGGAAAAGGTGTCCTATTGTACTTCGTACATATGCACTCCCCTCTGGGAGAGATAGGAGAGATACTTCAAGTCTGCCTCCTGAAGTGATAATTCACTCCTTAAAGAGTACTGCTTAGCATGCACCACCTCCACAGGAGTTCAGGAACAGTCACCCTTCACTGTTAGCTGCCCTGAGGAGCTGGAGTCACTGCTGGCTTCTAAATTTTCATCCACAGGTTTTGATATTTAGAGGTGCAAACAGAGAAGATGGTGTCAGTGGAGCGACTAGCTTAGGTCACTGTCCCCTCATGAAATCCTGTAGAGACATGTATGTGAGAAAAAAAGAAGAAAGACAGAAAGAAAGAAAGCGTCCAATGAATTCCACTTTGGTTTGCCCTATTTTTCCCTCTCAGGTAAAGCCCTGCTGGATGTGATGGTGTTGGGCTCTGCTGAGCAATCCCCTCCTATTAAAGACCTGCTGCCTCTGCTGGGAGCCCTCAAACACATGTCCTGCTGGCATGGTGCAAAGATAAATGTAGTCACACAGCACACGACTGGGTGAGGAGACAGAAAAATACACATGCAATACATTTAGAAACTAAATGAACATATACCCATATACACAAACAGCAGGTAGTTCACTGTGGTCCTGGCACACATGATTGTGTGATGAGAAGTTTCCAAAGGAGGCTCAAAATGCAGGAAAAGGAGCAGTATTGTGTGAATTTGCGGGTATGATTATTTCTGAAATGCTCCCAGTTCACCACTAGGGGGAGATAGACGAGTAAATATATACATGTGTTGACTTACAGTAATGGATGAATAGTCTGAGAAACATTTCCACAGAAGCACTCATTTTAGTTAATGGCAGAGTAGCTGCATTAAATTCTCAGCAATATTGCTACTTTACTTCCATAGATGGGTGAATTAATATGGATCAGGACTTTTATCCTTAATTTACAGGAATCAGCAATAAAACTTCCAATGCAGGTCATTGAGTGATCCTTTTTTTTTTTTTTTTTTCTTGTTTCTTGCCCAGGTGGCAGAAAGCAGCATCCTACCTGAGTGCTGGTCTGGTGGAGCCTGGCGACCTGGATAGCTGTATCGACTACAGAGAACTATGGAGGGGCGGCCTGGTTATCAGAGAAAGGAAGGTAAGGGTCTCTGCAAATGGAGTGAGCATGACAAGGAAACATTGGGGATACAGTACTTTTTGCATAAATTATTTTGTATTTTTCATTTTAGTGTAGAAAAATGGAGAAAGAAGTGGAGAAAACAAGGAAACTCACTTGAACCTATACAGTATAAACCATGAGAAAAGCCCAGTCGTATTAGTTTTTGTTAAAACACAATGTAATGGTTACAAACACAGCAAAGAGGGTGTTGGTGACACAGGTCATTTGGGGGCCAAAAAGGCTGGCTTATTACAGAAAGGAAGACCAAGAATTTTCCAGAAAATTGAGTGTCTGTGTATGTGTACAGTGTATGCATGACTCAGTGCTATGATGAAACTGTCAGTTACAAGAAGGTTAAGTTTTGAAAAATGTGTATGTGGGCGACAGCTGTTAAGATCTATCTGTAATCTTTGTGTATACCTCTATGAATCTATATACAGTAGCTTCAATGCATGTGTTTGTTTCAAAGGCTTTGAAGTACTGTAGGAGTGATTGATCTTTTAAAAGCTGCAGAGAAATGAGTTAGTGAGGTCGTGGCTGTTGACAGAAAGGACTTCCTTTGTCTTATCCTCTCTCTCTTTGTGTGAATTTGTGCGTCCTGGACAAGTACTGTAGATGGCATGAGAAAAAGGCGTGGCCTTTTAAACTCACCAGCTTTCTTGCCCTGGGCTTTTTATTATGAACAGTGTTCTCTGTGAGATGGGGCACACATCTAGCTGGGCTCAGTGAGAAAAGGCAGAGAAAACTGTGGTTTCCTTAAAAGCCTCCTATACCAGGGGTAATTGTGATTCAGAGACCTGATTCATGCCACCGTATGTGTTCCTCTATCTTTTTCATGTGAAATTACTCATGCACTGCACACAAGGCCACAGGCAAAATTTTCATGTATTTTCTTTTAAATTGAGTGACTTTTTGAGTCAGTGGGGGATAGGTTTTTCTCTACCGCTGAATGAATCTAGAGGAATCACTGGATGTCACTGAGGGGTCATGGGAAATCGCTCTGCCTTGCTGGTATTGCCCTGGCAGAGGCTACCCGGTCCTGCCAGGCCCTGCTCTGACTCGACCTCGCTCCCTGAGGAGTCGGCTGCAATTAGTGATTGGTCCAGGCTTGGGCAAAGGACAAATGTTAGAGAACGCCTCTGGGCAGTTTCTGTCTGCATTTAAAGGACAGTGCTGGTCTTATTGACATGCAGGTACAGTGCTGTTCTTGACCTTTGTTGGAGTTTAAAGAATAAAAAGTACATTTAGATGAAAGTATGGCTAGAGCTAGTAGACACCTGTGTCCACATACTGTTGTGTATATTCTGTCTGGAGCGCTTACTTTCAGTTAAGGGAAATCCTAATGCTGTAGCATACAATGATCTGGTGGGCAATACTGCTCTTTCAACTTAGTGCACCAGTTTAGGGTAGAGACAATCAAACAATCGCATATGGGCTTAATACCAGATGTCCACACATTTCTGGTTATATATTGTCCTTTTCTTTCCCGCTTTTGTGCCTCTAGCTGCAATTTAGTGTCAAAGTGAATAGGCCGAGGTGAGTTGACAGCATTTTTTTTGTTGCTACTCTGGAGATTACTTCATGCCCACTTGTACTTCTTTCTCATTACGGGAGAGCTCTGGCAGGTGCAGCAGTTTTCTGTCTCTGGACAGAATTGGCCAATTGTGTGCTATTCTTCCACAGTCCTCTAGAGAGAATCAGCAATCTGTTTCACAGTGGAGTTTCCTTTTATGTCTCATACTGTTGGTGTGCTTTAATCTGGAGATTTTCAGTTGGCATTTTAAGACCATTTTAAACATTGATCAGCTTGCATCTAAAAAATATACAGTTACATCGTTATATTGAATATATATTTTGAAATTTTCACCTCTCCACATTGATAAATTGAAGCAGCATTCCCAGTCAAGTGAATATACCTGGAGGGTTGTTTCTTTGATACAGACCTTTCGATATTTTGTTGTGGAAATGAAGACCATGAAGCCAATAAAACATGCATTTCTATAGCAAAGGCCACACATGGCCACAATTTCTCTTCAAGTTAATTTGAACATTTCTGATGTTGTGTCCATCACAATGATATCCAGATTCTTTGGCAGCCATTATACATATCACAGAAATGCCTAAAATATGTTGGATGTAATTTAGTAACAGTATCCCATTAAATAGTTTGTCCACCAGAGAGCATTGACAAGATTATTTTAAATTTAAACACATTTAAGTGATTTTTTATAAAAAATATTAAATAAAATAAATATAGATTGATATATCCTTTTTTAGATATCGCTATCAGGCTCAAAAATCCAGTACTGCTGAGACACTGATACGAACTCAAAACTCATTTGGAAAAAGTTTTCCCCAGTCACCTTTCCTCTGTCTGCTTAATTCGGGGTATGCTGAGACAAGCATGCAGCTTCTCCTTCACTGTAGTGACCTTTGTTAAGTTGCTGCCTTCAGAAGTGAGTGGGCTCCAGCAGTCAGTCAGTCAATAAAGGCTTCACAGTTGGAGAGCGGTGGAACAAAGGAGAATTCCGACAGGAATAAAAGCATGTCTGAGAGCAGCCACCACCACTTTACAGCCATGTAATACAGTAGCATAACAACTAATTTGTGTGTATGTGCATGTTTATCACTAACTGCACAGCCATATGATAAAAGCAAACCATAATTATTTTTGAGTTCATTTGAAAACTCCTCTTAAGGAGGTCAAACAGTTTGTGTACGTCTGTGATATGTAGCACAGGCACTGATTTCAAAGTAGTACTGACTAACAGAGATTGTGTGTCATGGTAAGATCAATTAACTGTTATGTGACCTTCTCTGTTCTGTGTGTGTGTGTGTGTGTGTGTGTGTGTGTGTTTGCTTGCTTCAGTATGTGTCAGAGCTCCGTTTCGATGGCTTTTCTCTGCGCTCTCCAGTGCATCACATATCAGGGTCCAGTCTCCTGCAGGCTTCCTACACCACTACAGACCACAAACTACAGTCTGAGGTGAGTCCTGAGCGCTTCACTACTTGTCACATCTTTAAACTTCCTGTTGTTGAATGGAGCAACTGAAAACTGTAGTCTGATGATGAAACTGAGTTGCCGTTTTGTTTCACTTTATTCATTCAGCATCACACTGGGTTCAGTGTGTGCTCTGTTTTGGAGGTGGGATATTTTGTTTTGCTTTGTCCAATCATTACCGAGTTTCCTTCCTGCCCACATCATTTTCATTCCACGTGGAGGATGCTGTAGCTTAAAGAAGATGACTGTAAGGTGCACTGTGGAATTTGTGACTATTAGTAGCGTCAGTGCCAGTTTTGCTTCTATCGTGCACATGGCTGCCATGATGCACATCCTGCAACTAGTTTCAAACGGTTCCACTGATCAATAGTTGCTGGATGTAACATGCAAAGAAATGTGCCAGCAATGTGCCAACAAAAGTAGGGAAGATGAAGATGCTAACAAGTAAACTTGGGTGTAATCAACACACAATTTAAAGTATTTTAAAAATTGTTTTTTGAGGACTGAAATGTATTCAACATGTTTGGTAGACCTCAAAAATACACACAAGGCATTTTTGTGAAATAAAAACATAATTTTTAAGCCTCACACTGGCGACAGCGAGGGCCGGAGGTATTACGTTTACAGGTTGTCCATCAGTCCATCCCATCTCGTTAATGTGATATCTCAAATATGGCACAAGCATTCAGTTGGACTCAAGGATGAACTGATTAGATTTTGTTGGTTAAAGATCAAGGTCAGACACATTTTCAGCCATAACTCAAGAATTCACACAGCAATTAAGACTAAATTTCACACACATGGTTAATATTTTATATCAATCTGGATAAACAGTGAAGTATCCTTAAACTAGTTTGAGTGGCGAAGGCATACACCTGCAAAGCAGTAATTCTAGTTTTTGTTTGTTTACAATACAACTCATCACAGGCTTTATCATTCTCATTCACAATTATTGCTGTTTTTGTTGCTATATTTTGTCATTTTCCGTTCTCTTGCAGTACTACTGTCACCCCTTGAATCATTGGCTTTGCAGATATTGCAAGTAGCCATAGAACATATTGGTGTATCAACCTGTGAAATACCTCCAAACTGCTGACCCTTTGTTTTTAGCTGTCCTTCTGGGTGGTGCATGATGTAGTACGTGCAGGCAGTTGTAAACATAGAATAACAATAGAATCGATTGGCCCTATTGTCAGCAATACCTGATCCAGTTATTTGAGTCAGTATCAGATCAATGTCTGATATCAGAAGTGGATTAGTGCATTCTTACTAAATAGCTAGCTACAATATGTAGGTAGAAGATGTCCCCATTCTCTATCCCGCTTACAAAGCTCTTGATTGGTTGAATGTTTCTCCAGGTGGGGATAAAAGCTGTCAGTAGGCCTTTGAATCACTGAGCTAATCGTTGATGTGAGCAGCAATTCAGAGGTCTGGAACCAGGCTTTGTCAAAGCTGCATCTCATTTAACTTGTCCAAATGCCTCAGGCAGCAAATTTTTTGTTTTTATTGCCACACAATTGCATGGTTGTTTTAAAGGTCCAATTGTTTGTTTCATTATTTCTTGTTTCTTCTTCTCTGACAAGGACAGTAGCAAGCACAGTCTCCTGCCAGAGTGCTGTAGGGCCTGCACATGATCCAAACATTGTCAGTGAAGAAATCTTGTTCAGAGAAATGTAATTTGTTTGAATTTGTTAATTTCTGCAGCTTGAAAGAAAACTATGGTGAAATAATGTGACTAGTGTGTAGTAGGAGTAAATGTAGCAAACGTGATTCATTTTAAAACTAAAACGTATTAGTGTGGACGTAGCCTGAGGCTCAGTGTTCGTGCTTGTGACATTCATATCTCCAGCTTCACTTTGAGTGAACGCTCACTAACATTACTTGGAAGGGGTGAAGGCATGTGACTGGACACAACGTACTATTTTTTTAAGGGTACAGTTCATGAACACTTGCATCGGGGGAAAGCTTTAACTGACATGAGCCAGATAATTGATAATATATATTTGATAATGTTTCAGTTAATTTCCCAGCCCTACTGTGTAGTCATATTCCTACAAACCTTAGGGAAGGTTTGATTGACGGGATGAGTAGATAATGACTGAATTTTCATTTAGGGTAGAAGTGTACCTTTAACCCTTAGTTCAACCCACATCTTACCTCCTAGCTAAAGAGTTGAATGAGCTGCACACACTTCATCTTCTAATGATATCTGGTTGGCTAGAAGGAGATGAGTTGAAAAGGGTCAGTTCTTGGTTGCCCTTTAATCGCATAGAGGAAACTGTGACAGAAGGACCATCAGTCAGATTAATCAAATCAATTTTATCTGCCAATGGGAGTTGACCCCTAGTTCTTCTGTTGGCCTTGTAGCCAGAAAACGGTATTAGAATATAGATTTAACAGATCATCAAGGAAGGCTAATGCCCAATGTTTCAACAGGGGGAAATTTGTAGTCATACATTACTTCCATGGGGTTTACACTCATCTTTTGTACATCATGTTTCACCAAATTTTATGTACTTTATAGGGCTATCCTTACCTTCATTTAGCACAAATGTTTCAGCCAAGATCCATTTGTCTTTATTCAATTATCTTTTCCTCCTTTTTTTGATAGAGTGGTTCACAGGTATTTGTGTTAAAGCTGATATGAGTCACTCATTGGTACTGAGAAACTAGAGTGAGCTGTCAGCTCGCTGTGATATCGCCATCCACGTAGTGTGCAGCCTCAGTTGATGTCCATGTATCTAGTATTGATAGTGAGTGACTCATATGACCTTATGTCAGAACTACTTCTTTAAGCTCTTACTCATCAAAACAGGAGGACATTGACAGACATTGTGCTTGCAATACATATATTTTTGCTTTTAAATTTCAGTTCTCTTGAATTTAATTAAACCCAGCGATAACTGAACTCTACTAAAAGTGTGTAATAGCTTTTTTATTAATCAGTTAATCATTTGCTCTATTAAATGTCAGAAAAAAAAGCTTCCCAGAGTCCATGTTGATGTCTTCATGTTTCACTTGTTTTGTCCGACCAACACTCCAACAGCCAAAGATAATCAGTTTGCAATGAAATGAAACAGAGAAAATCTTCAAATCCTCACAATAGGGGAGCTGGAACTCCGGAAGTTTGTGGCATGGCTCTAGGGATGCCAGTGGCGTCTCTTAACTAACTTAACTTTCATCTAGTTTGAAAAATTTTAATTCCTCCACTGTTTTGGTTTTTTGACCAAAGATTTTGCAAACCTAATGGCATCCCCGTTAACCTGATGTGTACTTTGAGTTTGGGGTGCTATAATGAGTGTGTGTACCTTTGTGTGGAGAAGATGTACTCTGGTTGTATGTTTGTATGGTGGTGCACTTTGTAAAAGCTGTATTTGTACAGAGAATGTAGTCTGTGAGACAAGGTCTTTTATAACAGTTGGTATATTTCTGTAATGAGTTTTCTTATGTAGATTAATATTCATAACAATGAAACCACACAGGAGCTCTGCCCAAGAAGTAATGGCCAGATATGACGCACACACACACACACACACACACACACACACACACACACACACACACACACACACACACACACACACACACACACACACACACACACACACACACACACACAGCCTTTATTAGCATGAATTAGATTAGTTTTAAAGACACTTGGTTGAAAGGATGCAGTTGTACACATTAAAGAAATACTGAAAAGAATCATTAGCTCCTCAGGCAAGAGTAGTGATACCTTTGTGTTGTTTTTATCTTAACCATTGTCTGCTTTGTGAGTTTTTGTCTGGCATCAGTTAGTGAGTGTTTGTGTTGTCGTGTGTGCTCATTATTCAGTTAACACAGCAGATTTCCATAGTTAAGGTGTGTGTACTCATTAATGTGTCCATGGAGAGTGAGACGGTGTTTATGTGTGTGTTGTGTGATCTAATCAGATCCCTGCACAGAGAAGCAGATGGTGATGATTGTCTTGGCACACAATAAAAAAAAAAAAAAAAAACTCTGAGGACAACAAAACTATCACAACTCCGCACTGCTGGGATAACTGGCTCTGTAACGGACTCATACACATACACAATCTAAACTATGCTCAGACAAAAACTATTAGGCCTCCTCACTGTCAGGAGGGACTGCTGTGATAATTACACACGCACACACACAGGCTCAGTGGCCAGAGAGGCCACACTGTGCTGTGTGACCACCAAACAAGAGGTGTTTGTTCACTGTGAGATTTAGGAAATTTACTGCACATTAGGAACAACCTGCAGGAAAGTATGAAGTATAGGAATGCTTGTATCACATACTTGTAATATGGTTGTCTATTATTATTATTATTATTATTATTATTATTATTATTATTATTATTATTATTATTATTATTAGATAATATATAATGATATTAAATATTAGTATATTCAATTTAATATTGCGATATATTATATAGTAGCTTGTTTTGAGAAATTCAATTAAAGCCTCATTTACACTGGACAAAAAACCTGCTAACACCCACTAACATCTGGCTTTTGTCTTCAGTGTGAAATGGTAAAATCAGCCATTCAGTCGCAGGTCAAATGACTCTGCAGCAGACATGGGTATTTATTGGTTCCAGCTCCAATGTAAATATGACATCTGGGTGAACATGTTAATTTCCACGCTGTGACACAGACCTGTCACCTGCCTAGCACGGTGCTATTAAACCAGAATCACTGTGGCTACACCTTTTGCTGTGCTCTGTAACTGCATGTGATGACATTACTCTCTGCAGTTGTGTGTCTGTGTTCTCTCAGTCCGAACAGAAAGGCAAACTTGTCAGGCAGTGTTAAGGAATTAATTAGTTGATTAACTTTTTTTATCCGCGGTTTAAAAAAACTGCTTTTGCGCTAATATTGGTGAATTTGTAGCTAATGCAGTTGATTAAATACTTAATATCAAGGTGTGTCTTCATATTGATCCTATAAGTTAATATTAACATAGTACAGTTCTGTTTGTTGAGCTTCAGCACCGCCCACAATGATGCAAACACTTCAAACGCCACTCTTTGTTTAAGAGTTTAAATGTAAACTGTACATCTATTCCACACGTTTCAAAGCATATATGGCAGTAATTCATCTGAATCATGTCACAGGTGCCCTTTTTGTTCTTCTAAGTTTATTCTGTAATGAATGTTCTCTCACAGATTAAATGGCTCTACAACTTCTTCCATTGGTGACATTAAGTCTCTTGGAGTGTCCCTTTTTAATAACGCCTTAACTGTTTGTCAAGGGAGGGGAAGAGTTTCACCTTACTCTTTCTTTTGGGATTTAAACAGTTTTCTCACCAAATCTTCTTTACAACTTTCACACTTCTTCCACTCCTGAGCATTTTAACATGCATTCAAAGTTATCCATCAGTTGGTAACTGCTAGAATTTATTTATTTTTTGGTCAGCAACAATTACAATTACTTGTTGCTGCCTAATGTGTTATACCCTTACCTCTGGACATGGAAGTAGTACAGAATATAAGATTTATGTTGTTGTTGAAAATACCGTCAGTGTAGCTCTATGAAGGCTTCTGTGCTCAACTATGTACAGGGGAAAGCACACATGAGACTAGATTACAACAATCTATGTAAAAGAAATGAGTGAGAATAATAGGTAATGCCCCTGCCAAGAAAAAAAAGCACCACTGCAATCTGTATGAAGTCACTTTTACAGTAATTGCATATTGAGTCATGTTTAAACATGCAAAAACATTTAAACCACAGGCATATGCAATTTTAAACCATTACAACGGATCATTTCAAGTGGTTGTAAGTAATGAGGACAATTAAATATTGGAGGTTTTAATGATCTGTTTGGCTCATCTCTTCAGGCCACTGCATTAGTCAGACTCTTCACTGGGTTGGACAAGGGAGTAATAAACTTTCCCATCTTGCCAGCGAAAGTAGGAATTCAACCAGTATTCATTAAAATCTTCATCTGCTCTTAATCTGTAGGACTCTCTCAGAAATAGGTCGGCACTTCATTTTTGTTCCAGTTCAATAAATTATGAGATTGAAATTTCAGGCTTTGCTCTGTATTCCTGTAAATGTCTGTATATGCAAATGACCTGTTTTTCCATGTGGCAAATGATTTATATATTATTGATTTTCTTATAACATAACAAGATCATTAGATAAGTAGGACAGACTGTTGAATGTAGGCCTTTTTTAATGTGAGTTAGGCTTTAGTGTGTTAAGGACCTAATGCTGATGCGTTCGTGACAAAACAAAAGATGTGTTGAGGTTTTTAGTAATACCGAAACAATTAGTGAATTAATTGATTAGTGGGTCAGCCAAAAGTTAATCAACATGTATTGTAAGTCATTTATCAGTTCTGGTTCTGCCTTCTCCAATGTGAAGATTTGTTGCTTTTCTTAGTTTTTTTTTAATGATTAATATTGTTGTAAATTGATTATCTTTGTGTTTTACACTGTTGGGCAGACAAAACACAGCATCTGAAAACCTCACCTTTGGCTGTTGATACTTGATCTGACATTTTATCAACCAATTAGAGAAAATAATTGATGGATTAATTGATAATGTAAATAACTGTCTTCTTTTCTGTGTTTGTTTCTTTCCTTATTTCATTCTCTCCGCACCCACCTTCTCTCTGTCTGTCTTGAGTTTGCAGGTCTTCCATTACTACACACCAGTTTTGGACTTGGTTCAGCTGGTTAATCTATTAGACCTGCCCAGCTTTCTGATGTCCAGCACCCACTTTGAACTGTATCCTCGTTTCGAAGTGTGTGTGTGTGTGTGTGTGTGTGTGTGTGTGTGTGTGTGTGCGTGTGTGTGTGCGTATGTGCGCACTTAAAATGTCACATGCAAACTATTTGATAGGTATCATAATAAAACTGAATGTTAATATATATTATGCATATTGATATTCTAAAAATTGCAGCTTTTTATTGCAAATGTTCCCAATTAATTTTCCTGTCAAAATGTGGTTGGTAGCTTCTGTTCCCTAATACTGTACTATTCCTTAACGACTAACAAACAGAGGTCTGTGTGGGAAGTCAGCTAAAGCTAAACTCCTATTGGACCAGCTGAGGTCACTGCGTGGAGAGGTATATGCCCATGAGCTGTACTCTTATATGTACAAAAGTCTGCTGTAGAAAGTTGTAATTTCGAGTGAGGCAAAGAAGTACATTTTTAAAGGTTTTTCCTTGACAAGGAGAATCTGTTTTCTTTTGTCTCCAGGCAAACGTATATCAGACATAGAAGATAGATACAAGATTCATCTTGTGTGTGATTCATGGGACTGGGGGACTGTGTGTTTAGGTTTATTGACTGTGTTTCTATCTCCAGGTTGGAGCATTGTTCAGCCTGTCATGTATAGTCACCCCCATCGCTCAGCCCACAGCCAGCCAACTCAGCTCCCAGCGCTGGAGGGAGTCTATAGCCAGGAGACCAAAGTCCTTACCTGGTAAAACATTTCTTTTTAAGCCCTTTTCATTACCTCATTAAATGGATGACTGGCAGCAAAAGAGAGGAGCTATATCGTCTTCTGTAGGGATATAGATTGGTAACTAGGACTACACTTATATTCATTATAATAAAACCTTCTATTGGAAGTAGATTTGGAAATGGGACTGAATTAATTTGGAAAACTGCTGGAAGGATCAGGAGAAAAATATAAAAGAAGGTATAATTAATATGCCATACATGGGGAAATTGGATTGCTGCAGCAAGTAGAAAAAAAACAAAACCACAAGAAAAAACGACAGCAGGGATAAGTTCTATAATAATGCACTTGACCAGCAATTTATAGAGTAGAAATGTATGCAGAATAAGATAAAAACTATTCAAAGGGAGCAGCAGACTATTATACAACAAAATTAGTTATATAACAGTATTTTTCTGCTGTCGAGTAACTCCTGATGTAACCTCTGTCCCCCCTGCCTCACACAGTAGCGCCTGACGTAGAGGTGAAAGGTGAAAGCGCTCACTACTTCCTGCTGGTCCAGGGCTCAGACGATGTTGGGTGTGGAGCCTGCAGGGTCAGGATGTTGCACTCAGACAGTCAAATTAATGGAGCAGCTGCTATGGCAACCGTCACCAGGTTGCTGAAAGAGAAGTCTCTGTCATCATCAGGTATATTATGTTGTCATGTTCATAGAGATGCGTGTGTGTGTGTGTGTTTCTGTGTGTGTGTCTGTGTGTTTCTGTGTGTGTCACTGTGGATGTTTTGGTGTCACTTTAATCTGTTACCTGTTGATTTGCAGCACCTTGACCTAAGAGTCTTTTTGAGAAAGTGAGCAAGAGCTTGACAAAAACCTTTATCTAACTTCCTTTTGTCCTAATGTTGTGCTGCAGGGGTTTTCAAAGGCTAACACTGCCTAAAGTCAAGACACCTTTGCCTAAATCTTTGCTTATATTTAACAGTATGCCACATTAGCTGTAAGCAGTTCCTCTTTGCAATGTACGCATGGATGTAACAGGCAACTATCACTGCATTACTTTGATTTTACTACTTTACTGAAGACAACTCATTCTCAAGCGAGTTTCTGAGTGTCTTTTTTTTCTATGATCTCTAAGTGGATTTATTGAACTTTTATAAGCAATAGACATCAGAGATAATGGTATCCTTGGAAAGTGTAAGTGAATTTAATATGTGTCAGGTCTGTGTGATCAGATTTGAGAACTCAGTGGAGTACAAATGTTTACACTAAGGGTTTTATTTACCTTAAGCTCTGTGTCGTAGTCTTTCCGTGTTGGTGAGCAGGCCAAATCAACAGTCCACACGACAATAACTAACTTCCTTATGTTTTTAGAACACCAGCATGCACATGTCTCTTCCACCTCACACAGTATCTTTGACTCATGTTTCTCCGTCTACGCCTGACAGTTTGAAAACCTCTGTTGTACTGTAATCAAATTTAGAGAGCACTAGTATTTTGTCAGCATTTGGAGGCCTTGGAACACGTAGCAGTAATTTGTTCTTTGCCACAAGAAAAGCCCTTCAAACATCCTGTTCTCTTAAAGCTGCTGCTCAGCTTGATTGGAGTAGAAGCCCTTCTGGCTTCACTGACAGAGGTTGAGGAGCTGTCCTTGTTCATCAGGCTAGCCTGTGTTACAAAAAGTGATAGTCTTCAATGCTATTGGCTATTTCTGACTTAAGAGATTTTCTTCATTTGTGCTGCATGTCTCTTTTTTACTACCTCTTCCTCCTTCTTCACTTCTTCTTCTCCCTCCTCTCAGCACTGGAAAGTTGTGACTGTTCTGTTAACGCTTTTCTCATCTTTGTCACTAAAATAAGACCAATCAATTAAAGACGCGAAGGAGTGAGAAAGGGTATTGATAGGAGGAGGAGGAATACAGGGAATGTATAGATGGTTGGGTGGTGGACTGGATAGATGATTGAACAAAAAGGATATGATATGGACTGTCCTGTTTGTAGGGGACAAGATGGATGAATGGACATTTGTGGAAATGGAAATCTCACGCTGTTGGTTGTTTTGTTCCCTAAACTTAAAGCGTCTTTTGTGATGAAAATCCTTTAATGTTCTTTGGCTTTATATGATATTCAAGAGACCTATTGTGGGGTTTCCTCCTGAGACTCCCTGCTGTTAACATTTCATGCAACCTTCAGGAGACATTTTTGAAATATTTTTAAATGCAGAGCAGGACTATAAAAGGTGCCCTAACTGCGGCAATGTCACGGCAGAGTTTTCAGTCAAAATAAAAGTCTTAAAATGCACCCTCGAAGGTTGTTGCACCTGAACAAAAGTATATCAATACACCTCTGTAAAATGTAATTCATCAACCATCTATTTACATATTGGAGCAATAATCATAGGTGTGTATCTTTTTGTTATTGTTTACTAATCTAGTTGTTCTTAGCCTCCTTACTTTAAAATGAAGCATAGTCTACTCGAAACCCTAATCACATGTTGCATATGTCAGAGTTGTGAGTGATTCCACCAGTGTGATTTTGTGTCTAATTGATGGTGTTATGTATCCAAGTATCTAAGTATGAATACTGTGTTAGTATATAGGAAATTTAAGAAGGCAGTAGAATATCAATTTTTGTCAGCCATGTGAAACCAATAACAATTTCAAAGATTCAACTTCAAGCTTGTTATGCCAGTACTTTCCCTAGTGTAAGGGATTTGCCTTTGGGATCATCCTCAAACCACAATATTGCAAATTTCGCTGTTAGAGGGTAATCCAGTAATGTATTGGTCTTCCATAAAGTTCAGGGATTTACGTGAAACAGATTGGTCAATTTCAAAGCTGCAGAGGCTGAGAAATCCAGACTGTCAGTCACAGGGTTTTTCCCAGGTTTTCATAGGGCTTAGGTGCTGTCTGGGTTCCGGGGTATGTGGTGGTTGAGGGATTTGAAATCATTCAAAGGATATTTAAGTTAAGTTTTTTTTTCACATTGTTTTTCAAATATTTGAAGTAAACTGACTAAGGGGTGGAGTGCCCATAAACCTCTCTGTTGCCCCTGATCCAACTAGAATAAAATCAAAATGTTCAGCGAGTCCCATTCCAAACAATGCACAATTGAGGTTTGCAAATTATCTCATCATTCTGTTTTTTCCCTTTTACTAAGTGTCTCTCTTCGATCAGCAGGAGCTGTAGGCGACATCTTCCGCCCTCTGCCCTGTCTCCAAGGAGACAGCCTGCTGAAGAGAGAGAGGAAGGTGACCCAGGTTCAGACTCTGGTACTCAAAGAATATCTCAGTAAGTACAACATTTAAAGAGCTCCTGAAATGGAAAATGAATCCCAGAATATATAGTAGTTCTGAGGAAGAAAGGTATAGAGCTGAGCATTATGTAGACAATAATGCAAATGATTGCAAACTGTCTAGCCAGACAGATTTCATCACAAATTCATATCACAATATATCACTATTAATATAGATATATTTAGAGCTACTGTTGTGCTTTAACTAATTGCTTGTATGTTAAAGTATCATAATAACCGCAGACAAGCCCTCAACACAGCACCTTAAGCTCATTAAAATATGTCAGTCAAAATATTCCCCCAAGCAGGAGAGGGAAACAACCCCCTGACAGCACAGTAGAGGAGATAACTGATTTGGAAGTTTTATGGGAACAGAATTATCACAAAACAGATTTATTTTATTTTTCTCACCTAACTAATGTCTGTGGTGTAGCTTCATCAGGGGTAATAAAGGTAATAAAAGGGTAATAAAACTCATTTGATAATGTTACTTGGCCTGAAAGGGATGCTTGCTCAAACTCTTTGTCGATCTCCAAAAAAACTGGAAACTATTTAGATACTTGATTCATCCTTCCAGTAATTTTGCAAAAATGCCAAATATTTACATGTTAAAAATTTGAATGAACACTTGACTGTTGGTTGGACAAAACAAGAAAATTAAATGTCATTTTGACATACGATATTTTATTAATTGATTGAAAAAATAATTGGCAGATGAATCAACAATGAAAACAATCCATAGTTGCAGCCCTAAACTTTACAATTGAAAAAATATTTTCTATAAAACTAGCAAAGCAAGACAATGTGCTAATCCACTTGTGCTACTCACTATATGTGTTTGTTTTATTCAGTTACCAACAGGTAGAAAAAAATTATTTGACAGGAGTCTTCAGTGTTGCTTGTTTAATATAAATAGAGTTGAGATCAGCAGTCTTTAGGATACATTATATCCCGAGACAAAGAGATGGAGGGAAGAGATACTTGAAACTTCTTGATCTGTCATCAGTGTAAACTCACGCCTCTTTCCATCCCTCAGCACAGGCTGGTGCATAGAAAGACTGTTGAAATATCATTATTTCACAGACCCACATAATGTCTACTTGGCAAGCAAAGATAGTGGAACACCAGTGCAGTGGATCCCGATTAAAGGAAGTGGAGTGAAATTCTTCAGACTTGAGGAAAAGTGTTAGGACTATTCTTTGAAAAGGCCGTGAGCAGAATGAAGAGGCCTGACAGACCACAGGCCTTAATGAAATTCATCGCAATATATTCTGACTTGGCATTAAATTGGAAAAAGGCATGTCCTTATAAGTTGCAAAACTTAGAAGCACTGAAGTTTTCTGATTGTGTGTGTGTGTGTGTGTGTTGTGTGTGTGGTGTGTGTGTGTGTGTGTGGTGTGTGTGTGTGTGTGGTGTGTGTGTGTGTGTGTGTGTGTGTGTGGTGTGTGTTGTGTGTTGTGTTGTGTGTGTGTGTGTGTGTGTGTGAGAGTGAGTGAGTGTGTGAGAGAGAGAGAGATAGAGAGAGAAAGAGCACCATCATGGGTGTCTTCATCTCATAGACTGTAACCAGTCTGTGTCTCTGCTGCATAAGTATAAAAGCTGATGCATGTGTGAACCAAGGACTTCAGTTAAAAGTTTTCTCTTTTTCCATTTCTGTGGGCATCAAACTCAACTTTCATTTTGTCCATTATACCCACGTCACTGTGCAGATTCTGTTGATATGCAAGAAATACTCAAGATCTTCAGTATTTTACTACTAAACTAACCTTAGATATGATGAACTTGAAATAAAAAGTTTCTTTTTTGAGTTTACATATACATTTATGCTGGTGGTAACAAAGTTTAACATTTGATGAAGCTCTTTTACATAAAACTGTTTGGCCAAATTGTTGCTTTATAGAGAGAAACTATAAAAATTTCCACATATCATTTCAACAGCTCACCTTCGCCCTTTATGATGTCATAACAGCCCTGTGCATTTCTTTTATGTGAGACTACCAAATTGTAATTACCCAGTGCAGCTTTAAATTAAAACTAAAACTAATTAAAGGAATACACTTCTGTTTTGGAAGACAATCAATCATAAGCTCACTTTTTATGTAACATTAACACTGATGCCAAAATCTTCCACCAGCTGTAAGTTTGCCAGTGAGCCATAAGCTCAATCTAAAATGTCGCTAAAATGAAAACCAGCCTCTGCTTGTGTTTCAGGACAGAAAGAAGAAGCATCAGCCTCAACCTCAATACCAGTCAACGACTTGAAGGTCATTCTGAGTTTGGCCAGGGAGCAATATCTGAAGATGATTGACTCCACTCTGCCCTCTGCTGACACCTGTCTGACACACGAGCAGGAGACTGCCAGGACCTCAGGTATGGAAGAAGAAAGAGACAAAAAAAAACAAGCCAACTGTATTTTCACATCTGCTCGAAGCCACACTAGATGCAAACAGTGGAAAATTTGTCAGTAGGCTGGTCAATCTTTGTCACATAAACGCAATGAAAAACCTAAATCACATAGACATCTTTTCCTGCATAATAAGATATATGGAAAATATCGCCGTTGTTAGAATTACAGCTAGGATGCTGACATGAATGTTTGTTTGTTTTTTTTCTGACTCGGCTGCTTGTAATTACAGTCTGACTGATGATTTGAATGTAGCAAAAGCTGATGGTTTTGTTGTAAACCAGGAGGTTCAAGAACAAAATGAGACAGAAAGACCTGGTCACCTGCTTCAATCTGTGCACATAGATAAAGCTCATTGTACTCATATTATGGGTGTTGCAGATATGAATTAGCCCTATATTATTAATCTAAAGATGTACTCGGAGTGAACGCTATGAAGAAATCTTACAACACTGTGTGCAAAAATCTAAACATGACATCACCAACTCATGTTAGTTCACACATTTACCTCAACAATATTCTTGACTTGCCCATGAATTTATACACAGCAGTACATCAGTATTCACTACATGCACATTCATAGGATGACAGTTTTAGGAAACAATGCCAGCTAATAATGCGCAAATAAATTGTTAGCAATAAAACAGGTCCCAGGCCTGCAGCTAGAGCTACATGTGCACAGTGAGGGCGGTGCTGATTTTCAAAGTATAGCTGCGGGGCTAATAGACCTGCAGTTTTCATGTCATAAATGCTGTGACATTGTTTGCCAATTATTTTTGGAGTCTCAGCACAATGTTGTCCATCGTAATGTTTATTGTGTAATTATCTATGCTACTAGATTCAGGCATTGTCTCAGCGAGTGTAATAGTCTTAGAATAGATCAGTGTCTTTACCGGCAAAACTGCCATTTGTCCACATCATGGACTGTGTGTGCATCCTCCTGATATCATGTTCTGTGCCAGTTATATGTATCAGCTGTCCAGAACCTCAAAGGATATACTTGAAGTTTGAAAGGGTTGAGGCAGCAAGCTTCAAAAGCAGAAGTAATGATAGCTCTAAAGGTGTACACATGTACACATTCACACCCTCTGGTCCAGAGACGTCATATACAGCAATAAATAGCTTCTACAATCCATAAAGAATGTCATGCAGTTGTGTGTCTGTATCGCCCAAAGGTGTGAATGACTTTGTGTGAGCTGTCAAACTGCCGGAGAACTTCAGTCTCCCCATATAATATACTTTGGTCCTCAGGCCATTACGGTACAGAGAACATCCTCGTCTCGGCAGGGAACCTGTTATGTACACATTTATCACATTTCCGTCCTTCTTGAGATAACATACAATCTTCCTGCCCAAACATAGGAAAGGTGCAGAGTTGCTGATATGCTGATAGTTGAGATGCTGAGATTTAATCTATTCAAGGTCTCGTCTGCCAAGAGTTCAGTGTGTTGACCTGGCTCAAGTGAAAACTGGAATAACTCTTGCAGTCCATCACGCAGTACGTCGTGCCTACATTATTGGGCATTATGATAGATTGGGCACTGTAGGTTTGTTTATAAATGCCTGTACCACACTCCACTGTTGCTGTTAGAAAATGCTCAAAATGGGCAGGGTAGTCTCTCCACTGTTCTAAAATGTACAAAGTCTTACTGATTTTTCCCTGCAGTGCTGAACTTCATTTCCCTTAAGGTGTTGTGATAAGGTGTGTTTAAAATAATTTATAACTCCCTCCTCTTCTCTTTCATCACATCAACTACTGTGAGCTCCAGCTTATGGTTCAAGCAGCACCAACCCACATAAAAGCATCAGAGGCTGAACAATTAATAATTACTTGGTATTTTAGACATGTTAATGTGAGACAACTAAAGCCAACAGAACTTGACAACTTGAAGGCTCATTTAGTATTAAACCCATTGGGTGCGCAGTGTACTTTTAGTTTATAAAATTTATAAAATGAAGCACCCTGTGACTGCACTTTTAATGGAGATCAGCTAATTAAGGCTTTGAAGGAGAGGGAGTCAATAAGTCAGTTTTCTAAACTACTAATCATATTTTCAATCACTGCATTGCCGTCATACAAAAATGTTTCATGGCGCTAGAATCGCTCTTAACACACATTCTTGTTAAGGAGATTTTCCACTTTAAGTACTGTAAACAGGCCTTATCTAATTCTGCAAGTGTGAGCTTTGTTGTTTTGTCATTGTAGGTTTTCAGACCATTTTCCAACAGCCATCTGACTGGCCTGAGAGGAGTGTCCTCCACAACATAGAGAACCTGCAGAGGAGACGACAGAAGAGGAAGTAAGTGGAATTTACTATGGGTTAGGGCTGTGTGACATGGCCAAAATCTCATATCCTGATACAAGTCTCTTCATATCCAGATAACAATACATATTATAATATAGTACATTTTATGTAAAATCAAATGTAAATATACTGTGTAAATTGGGGGCATACCTTTGCAGATGTAAATTGCAATGGCAGCCATTATCTCCTTCCATCTTTGTGTTTCTATACCTTACGGCTTTTTGTACACAACATCTGACTCTGGGGTTTGTTTCTTTGTTTGTGTCTTTACTTTTGTGGCTCTCATCCCTTGACTGTTTTTATCCTATCTGACACGATTCTTGCATAGGTGGTGAAAGGTGGCGTTTGGTTTTGTTGCCTTCATGCAAATTTCCTGCCTGCATCTGTGCCGTGTGGAAGAATGCAAAGCATCGTCAAAATGATGAAATACAGTGTGATTTGCGACAAAACGATATAAAGGATAGAGCATAGAATGAAACAATAGACATTTTTCAATCATCACACAATCTGTATAATATCGCACAGCCCTACTCAGGATAGTGCTTTTGTTTGGCCAATGCTGCGCCAAGTAGAGTCTTAATTCTTATTGTACGGTATCTAATCACTATATTTTTTGTGTCTTAGATTTGGATTGTTAGGACCAGGCTCTAGTGACAGCCTGCTTGGTCCTAAAGACGGTCAAAAGGGCTCCTCTGCTCTACTAGACGCCAAAGAGCTTCTGAAACACTTCACATCTGATGGTTTGCCCACTGCAGAGCTACAACCACTGACTATCAATAGAGGGTAGGTTCAGTCTTCCTCTCTCACTCCATGCTGAGTAGCACCTTCACATCAGATTAAAGTTTATCAGATGGCTGGATTAACTGAATTAAATTTCATATATCTAGGCTTTCACTAAGACAGACATAACCAGACAAACATAACGACAGAGGCAGTCACACACACAAGCAGACAGGATCACAGCCAGACAAGGCTGCAACAGAAACAGAGTAGCAGATAGTTTTATAAACAACGATGGACATGAATGAATTGACTCAGTGCAGAAAGATGTTCACTACATTTTCACATGAACATACACATACTGCAGTCAGGTAAACAGTATAACAGTGTGGGTTTATTTCTAAGATAGTTTGGAATGACATAATTTTAACTAGTCCATAATGAGGATTTGACTATGATCATTAGCCTTTAACAGTTTCTTAAAAAATCTGGAGCAGAACAGTCATCCAGTAGAGCTAATAATTCTGTCACCAAATTGTTTGTTTTGATTAGTACACTATGTTTCTGTAGTTTAATGAAGAGAATATTAAATTGAGAAAACATTTTCTTTGACAAACTATTTATTCATTTTTTTCTCCCCTTTTCTTCCTCTATTCCCACTTCTACTCATCTGTCCTTGTGCTCTCTCTTTCTGTTCAGTAATAATGTGTTTCAGATGTCACCAGACCTCTCTCCTCGGAGAGTCAGCCAGATGCCCTTCAACAAGGCCTCAGCCTCGCATTACCACGGCATAGAGTAAGTTTCTACAAAGCGTACAGCAACTATTCAGAAGTTCAGCCTCTCACTAGAAGCCACATCAGTCTCCATTATTTCTGAATGTGTTATTATTATTTTTATTGTTACAATTTTTAATTTATTTTATTTGTTCATTTAGTTTCTGCCTGGATAATCAACGGTCCTTGGATCGGGACCAGGCTTTTGTACGGCTCCAGTCCCGTCTGATTCGGCACGAGACCCAAACCACCTGCTCCAAAGAGCCGTGTGCCCTCCCCTTTGCCCTCAGTCCCGCCCCCTCCCCTGCTGTGATGTCAGAACCAGGAAGCGTGCCTGACGGAGAGACTCTGCAGAATGCTGATGTAGCTCGACTTAAGCGCAGGTCCTGGGACACGGACATAATTGGAGGTTATCCTCGCAAGAGGTATGATGATGGTGTATGTTCTTGTGTTTGTTTTGTCCGTTCTTTAAGTCCAGATGTCTAACATGACTTGTGATTAATAAGAAAAGAAGACTTTCACTTGAAAAAAAAATCTTCAAAACACTTTCTCCTGGTTAGAAGCAAGATGTGGATTGATTGATTGATTGATTGATTGATGGATGATGTCTTTGTGTTATCATCTGTTTGTCTGAATGATCCAGGCTGGTGAAGTCAGAGAGCAGCGACTCCCTCTGTTCTCAGAGCAGTGGCAGCAGTGGGACACATCCTGCCATTAGGTCTCTTAGACAGCAGCCGAGCAGATCCCAGTCCACATCTGCCTCCATTAGCTCTTCTTCCTCTTTAGCCACAAGACGGACATCCTCAGGTAAAAAAAAAAACATATTCATGGAAAGGGACTATAATTTCCTCTTTCTTCTACATTTTCTGTCCCATACTGTAACAAATCATGCCATCATGCATGGTTTTAATGTTAGGACTATTTAAGAAATAATGAAAACTATATATATTTTATGTAACTTAATTCATGTTTATGGAAAGGGGACATGATGGTGAGCTAAGTAGACAGTCAATAGTTAGGTAACAAATCATCTGGAGAATTGAAAGCATGATTTATCCCTTTAATCCCTCTCTCAACTCTTCTCTCACACAGATATGTTAAGTAATATAAACTAGTGGTACATGTTTCTGGTTAATCTAATAATTTATTTTTGAAGGTTTAATTTTCTCTCTGAAATATGATTATAACATCAAAAAGCTACCAATGAAATGATCCAGTTATTGCACTGGCTTGGCTCACTGAGACACTTGGAGCAATTGTTAATGTTATTAATAACACCTGTGCTTTTCCTACTGCGACAAGTCAAAATGTCTGCTGTGAAAAACAACTGCCAGTTTTACTGCATGACCCTGAAATTTATGAGGCTGGAAACAGTTGAAGATTTGTTAAGACTTAAAGGCCCCACACACTCGCACAGTTGTTTTCTATTCTGGCTGATTAGACTTTGGCTCAAGTTGGTGTTGGGCAGAGCTAGGCTGGGATTTACATGAGGTCACCAAACACCATGCACCAATTAAAATGATAAAGGTGACAGGTGCAGCAAAGCTAACGAGAAAGTCAGGGAGACAGTCAGTCCTGAGAGCCGGTCTAATTAGGTAAATTAAGTGAAAACACCTGTGTGGTCTTTAACAAATTAGTGGAACCTGACTATAGAGACCCTTTACTCTAAATCTGGCACCACATTGTTTTATTTGTGAATTTGCTTTAATCATATTTGTTAATATAATTGCTTTCTTTGGTTGCCATGATTGTAATGCCCCATTGTTAATTTTCCTGACATTAATCTGCAGGTTTGGTGACTATTCCCTCTGCTGACAAACCTAAACCTCAACAGCAGAAGACACATCATGTGCAAACAGAGGACAAACCTACCAAAGAGTCACGCTCCCAGAAACACAACAGGGTGAGTGTGTGTGTGTGTGTGTGTGTCTTACTTTCAGAAGATCATGTTCTTTTTCAACCTCAATGTAATTATCAAACACACAGTGATTATATGTTAGGATGTGTGTCCATGAAAAACATGGATGGGTTTTTGTAAACATATCCATGTTTTTTAAGAATAACTCAGAATAATTGTAACCATGGAAACAAGTTCTCATCATAGCATGCCAAACTCACATGTTTGTGCATTTCAAGTACATTACCATTCACACAGGGGTTTACAGGAAGAATTAAAAGCCCTTATTGTGGACCTCTAAGAAATAGAGGTGCAAGGGTTTTTGGTTTATATATTTCACTTCATATGATGTATTACTACACACACATTGTACCGTATTAGTACAGGGTTTTGTCACGTTTATATAAATTTCTTCACAGAGCATTGAAATTTCAGTGTAGAGACAAATGAGTTTTACACCTTGTTAGCTAAGTTTCCTTTAAGGATTATGGTTTATTACAACCTTTGTTTTATTTTCAAATTTCTGGCCATTAGTTCTCACGTTATGGTCTTGTTCTATCTCCTTCTCCTAACAGTACATCTCAGCACACATAAATTAACTGAACTGCAGAAGGTCAACTAGCTGGGGTCACCATCTCCACAGTATCTAGAACCAAACAGACAAGGAGCCTGGTTTGTTTGCCTGCTGTGGGCACTTTACCTCTGTTTGACAGGCTGAAGTTGCTCCCTTGTGGCTAGGGCAAAATAAAACTGCTAATGAAGGCAGGAGTGCTGTGTTCAAGGTGCCCTCTGAAAGCAACAGTAGTTACTAGTACTAGTTACTAGTTAGTAAATAACTTTTGATGGAAATTCAAATTTGTTTGCATCTACTATCACAGTATATTATATGACTAGTTATATGTTTGGAAGTTTTAGTGATGGTTCTTCTCTCAACCAGGATCTTAGTGATTATTTTGGCAAGTACAATGTCATAATAACTGGAGGCTGGAGTTACAAAAATAAGCTCAAGTTGTACTAAGCATCGTTTTCCTGTATTTTCACGTTTAACAACAAATTAAAAAAGACATTCTTTAACTTTTTCTCCTAAAATCTGAAAACAACTGAATGTGTTATTCCCCTACTTACCCCACACTGACACACACACACACACACACACACACACACACACACACACACACACACACACACACACACAGTCTTTCTGTGACAGATGAGAATTTTTCGAAGAGCTCCACCAAAGATAAATGTTTTGCATGGGATCACTGTGAGTGTGTGGGTTGCATCATAATGTTGTGGCAGAAGCACATTAACAACTAGACTATTACCATATCACCTGCTGCCTGCCTCCACAGTCACACACGCACACTCTTTCCTGTCTCATTTTTCACGCGTACAGTGGATGCACACAGAAACACATACATGGACACATGCACGAGTACACACACACACACACACACACACCCCGCCATGCTGTTTCACGTTGTCCCTTGTACAGCTCACAATCTGCATCCCGACCTTGACTTGTTCTGATTTCTGATTACTATGCAAACAGGCTTATCATCCAAACCCAAGTATGAGAAAGAACAGTTGGCCCTATTCAGAAATAATGATAGCAGTTTATTCAGGACAGAGATTAAAAGCTGCCTTTCTACTCCTCGTGAGACTGAATGGCACCAGTGATTCCTCACAATAATTTATAGTGTTTCCTCAGAACAGTCGCTGTGACAAGATTAAAGGCGGATCTATTTATTTCAGGAATGTGTTTTCCCTGTCGACGCTACCAGTGAAATATTTGTATGTTTGTACCTGCAAGCTCACTGTGAATATAAAGGTTCTATGCAAGGACGTCCCCCGAAAGTCGAGACATTTTGACATCCTTTCCTTTTTCAAAAAGGAGCCATGCTAAAATTAGTTTCTCTGATTTAGCATTAGGTGGTTTGGGAATAAACAGAACTAGATTTAATGTTTTCGCAATTGCGCTAATACAAAAGTGTGTGTGTGTGTGTGTGTGTCTTTTGTGTCCTCAGATGTTGCAGGAGGTGGTAGTTAAAGCACTCAAACACCATGGGATCACTGCTGAGCATGAGTGCTTTGAGGCCTGCAGCAAAAGACTGTTTGATATCTCGAAATTCTATCTCAAGGTTAGTCTTTTTACTGCCCACACACAGTCAGCACTGTGGTTTTTATTTGACACTTTCTTTGTTTGTATGCTGCAGTTTGGAACATTAGTTATGTTTGGTTATCGATCTTCACAACAAATTAACTCAATAATAAGAAATTTGTAGAAACAATTTCTCCAATACCCACATTTTCATCTGATTTGTTTTGTGCATCCTTCTGAATCCCAATAAGATGTTTTTTTATTTGATAGAATATAAAAATATAAACTCTGCCCTAATTGACTGCAGTGGAGAGAGAAGCACTCAGATGTTTTATGTACAGTCAGTAAAAGTAGCAATGATTCAATGAAAAAGTTGACTTTTACAAGTAAAAGGATTTCCTTCAAATTTTAGTTAAAAGTACATCAGTCTTATCAGCACAATGTACTTAAAATATCCAAAATAATAGGCCCAGTTATCAGAGTGTTATTCTACATATTGTATAATTATATTATTACTGATGCATTAGCATGAATTTTGATGTTATAGCTATTCAAAATGGAGCTATTTCAGTTTTGAGTGTTTGATTTAATGTGGTTATTTTCTTTATTTAGATTTCTTGTAACAATAGCTGTCAGTCAAATGTAGTGGGATAAAAATTACAATTGCTCCCTCTGAATTGTAGTGAAGTAGACATGTAAAGTAGCAGAAAATGAAAATATGTACAAATTGTACTAAAGTACAGTACTTGAGTAAATGTACTTTCCACCGCTGGTTGCCAGTAATGCATAATTTGACTGACTGACTATAGCCTCATACATATTGTACACTTGTCCTCTCTCCAGTGAAAATGAGTTCATTTTTGACCAAAAATGTTTGATGTGAAGCTCGTGTGACTGTATCTCACTGTTTCAATATGAGTGATTTTCTGTGTTTGATCCCAGGATCTTAGGACATCTCGGGGCCTGCATGATGAGATGAAGAAGGCAGCTAGCAGCAACGTTAAACAGGTAATGCCACCAAACAACAGGGCTTCTCCACTTGATTTAGGTGTCCTTAAAGTGAACTTTGTAAAGTCACATATTTAAAATCATATTTTCTATCATTGAAGGTCATTGACTGGGTGCTGGAGAAGACCTCAGAGAAGTGAAGATGATCTTAAAGAATAAGTGGAAACACTTCTGACAGTTTTTGTCCAAAACTGTGCTAGGTCACTAGATTTATGTTCTGAATTCTGCAGTTGTGTTGTGCTCATCCACCATGATCTACTCCCACTGCTCTAGAGCCTTGAAACAAAAAAAACTGAGACAAGGCGACATAGTACACTCTGCTCTGACTGCAGTCACTGAGAGGCCACAAGGGCTTCGATGTTGGCTTCAGGTTGCAGTTTTCTTTTCTTTGTAGCTGTTTTCAAACATGATTTTAAATCCTCTCTCACTTGTTCATTTTGTTTCTACATATAATAATAATTTTATGGCTTTTTGAATGTGCATATTTTATCTTTGTATTTCATATTTTAGTCTTTGAAACACAATAAAGTGTTCTTGAATCTTATTGTGTGCCCATTATAGCTTCCTGATTACAACCTGAGCCAGTGGGAAAGCAAGCAAGCGTGTGTGTGTGTGTGTGTGTGTGTGTGCGTGCGTGCGTGCGTGCGCGCGCGCATGTATGCATGCATATGTGTGTGTGTGAGTCTTTAGAGAAAACATTCATGAATGTGTGTTGTCTCTAAGAAATATGTATTACATTATTAGCACTGACAGCTAACAGCCCAGTGTGGATGGTAGCTGTTATTCAGACAGTGAAAACAAAGCAACGAGCAGTGCAGCACATTATGCAGCGCTGATTATCACTGACAGTCAGATTTGTCCTGTTTGTGCTCGTTTCTCTTCGGCACAGACTGATTTCATGCCCACGGTGAGATACAGCACTCACAGCCAGTTGTTTTCTACTGGCACCACGTCAGCTTCTCTCCAAGAGAATGCCAAGTTACCATAGATGATCAGCTTTTTGTGGAGCTGGATAGCTGGTTGACTGTTCCATGAACAAGAATAACTTGTGTTTTAATATTTAATTTGAATTATAATGTACAGGCCTGTAATTTAATTTAATTTTAATGTCTTTGTTTTGCTGGCAAGACCTGTGCAATTTGGTAATAATTACTGAGAGAGTAGGATTTTCCTGAACAGAATTTCCCCATTCAACTCAAGTAAATATTAACTTATTAGGGGAAGCTTTATTCTCCATATTTATTGAATTGTATGCTTGCCTGTAGACAAATTTTAGATTTTTGTGTGTTCAGTTGACCTGCTGTTCACTGATTAAAAAAATGGTTATTCTGCAACTAATTTGAAATAAATAATTGCAAGTGTACCAACTAAACCTAGAAGTTGGTATCAAATTATATTGAATTTTACTTCTATTTTTACTTCTTATGAAATTACTTTTACTTACTTTTATAATTAATTTACAACTGAAAATCAACTTAGTTTTATATGATTGTCAGTAAAGGTCTACTGAGTTGCAGGTGATTCTCACAGTACTGTGAAAACCAATCTGTATTTAGTGTCATGCTTAGCACTACCAAATGTAACTACACAGAAAAATGGAGGTAAATGACATTTACCACAGATTTCTGGTCAGCTGATAGTTGTGAATCAACACTAGACTTTCCAAATGTAGTGTGTCTGTATTTCTCATTGCAGGGATACTCAGAAACCAGCATAACCTGACACTTTTAGTGTGCATGTTCTTGTGGGAATCGACCGAGCTTGCATCCATCAGTGTGTGGGAGCAGCACTGAGCGTTAGGGTGAGATAATGAAAACGTATTATCTGCATGTGTTGGTTGTATCGCAGTGGAGCAACAGAAGAGATAATACAGTTGCACGGCAGCTCACAGAAGCCCGGCCACAGAAAATGACCACAAAAGGAAAACACTGTGACTGTGCAGAGGAGGAGACACCACATGGTGCCACTTATCACTAGTCCTTGGTATAATAACATAAGTGTGAGGGTATCTCAACTTTGTGCACATTTTTTTCAGCAATATCTTTATTAACATTTTTTGAATTGCTTCCAAAACCAAATGAACAAGATCTCATCCAACAGAGACATTATTGTGCGATATGAAAACTAGTCATTCCCTTACATGTCAGACATTCAGGAGATGGCAAAGAAGCATAAAACTAAATGAATCAATTAATTGATTAAAAAAATACTAAAATAATAACTGAAATTAAAATAATGAAACAAATTAGTTTCTCTACTTTTCACAAGGGTTCCCCTGTTATTTGTATCATTGCTTTGCTCAAGGTCACAGTTCACGTGGAACAGAACAATCAAATTTAAAAGGAACAGAAAACCTCTTACAATGAAACCTTGTCTGCCACGTTCATCACATTTCTTACATCCACATTCTCTATATATTGTATAGAAATAAAAATCTTTTGATTGTTTACCTTTAATAATGTAAGAAATCTTTTCCAGAGGTGAAGTTATGGGCAGTTCTTTAATCCAATTAATGAATTTTGGTTTATTAGTCTCCTTCCAAGAGAGTGAAGTAACTCTTTTTGCAAGCAGTAAACAAAGATCCAAGGTAGCAATGAGGTGTTTATGAGTGTGTGTAAATCTAAAATGAAAAACTTTGGACCAAGTGTTAAGTGTATACCCAATATATTCTCCAGAGCTTGTTTAATCTCCCTCCAACTTCAGCGCATTCCCAAACGCACTCCTGTCCACACCTGAAACACAAGTCTGGGAGAACACTGCTATTACTTGTTTAGCTTTTCTGGTTTCACATCAGCCAGTTATATTGCAGCAGTTTGAGCTGAGTATCAACAGTTTTTGTTTGTGCTTAACTTTCTACACATTTATGACAATGTAAGATATGTCTCATTTTCAAAGGAAGACAAAAACACAAAACTGGAGCTGAAGAATTTCTGGGGAACAACAAATCCTCAACCAAAAATCTGCAGAGATAGCTTCTTTTTATCTTATCGGCTTTAATCTCTGGACCCTAAATGATTTACAGACGTGTTCTGTGGGCCCATTAAATGAAGACGGCAAAGATTAAATGAGCTGGCCATCTGTTGTCGCTGCTCCTTGTATATAAAATAAATGTTATTAATGGCCAGGGGAGGTTCTTGTTCCAGGGACTTGAGATCTGTCTTTTTACTGGTAGAGAGATGAGAAGGACAAGGGATGATGAAAGAAAAGAAGAAAGGTGTATAATGTGAAAAACAGGCAACACGTATTGGCAGCAGATTTATACAGCTAAGGAGGGAAGAGAGGTGAGAGATCAAAATAAAGTCTTCTATCTTATCTCTGAACTGTTTCATTATAAAAACTCAAGGTGTTGACTGTTTCAGCCCAGTTACCACTCAGTCACTTATTTGCCAAGGAAATGATTCAATCTTTGTGTGAGTGTATGGAGAACAGCAGGTATAAAAGGCAAATTCAGTGTGTAAGTGTAGTTCCTAAGATCAGTACGGGTGCACTAAAGAGCTCATTCATACAGAATGCACCACCTTGTTGTAAACCCGTTTGTCGCCAAAGTAGTTTCCTGATAATGTAACTCAATTACTATGCATCGTCTCAACCATGAAATCAGCAATAAAAGCTTTACTTCCCTTGCAATTGTCCTTTTTATTAGAATATAAAAAATGTCCCGTGATGAATGTCTTTCCTTTTCCAATGACATCAAATAATGATGGTAATTTCAACATAACACTTAATAACACTTGCAATAGTACACAAAAACAAAACATTTTCCAAATCCTAAATGCCAAATGATCGCTGGCAAATCATTTTCCTAGCAAGATCTTGTTTTATCTGCATTTATATGTAGTTTTAAGGGCTGTAGCCAGGATTTAAAGCTGCTATAACCAATATTTTACAAATATAACGTATCAAATGAGTGTGTTAATGTGAAATGGATCACTTGTTGTAATGAACCTACACAGAATAATCACGTGAATTTACACCTCCCCTCTGCTTTATGGATTGAAGCTCATTGTTTAGCTGTCCGACCCCGACCCCCATCTTTACCGTCTTGATTCACTCTCACTGCTCTGATACTGTCGTGTTCAGCTGTAGCAGGCAGCTGCTTTCAGTGAAAAAGCTCTAAAAAAAACTCCACTGTATACAAGTTGCTCATCACCAAACGGCAGAGAGACACACTTAGGAATTAGCTGGTGAACATCATGAAGCATTTAACAGTTTAAGAGCCAAAAGTTTCCTTCAGCAGTTGGTGGAGAATGGGGCGGAGACCAAAGGCAGAGCTAGAACAGATAGTTAGATGGGCCAAAAACAGCTGAAACAGAGTCAATGTTGGACTTCAGTGTGCCAGGTGGCCAGCAACAACTCCAAATGAAAGCTATCCTTTCTCTGTTACTGCTGGATTTGTATCTCTTGTTTCTGAATGTTTATGAAGTGAGGTCATGGAGTGAGCACATTTTGCACTGCAATTGCAATTTTCATTTTGCACTGCTCCTAAAATTCACTTCACATTCAGTCTGAGCAAAACAACTATGACAATTTCACAATTTGATGAGGAATTTTTAAAAGAAAAATTTCACAGCTTTTCATTTTCTGTATTTATATCTGATATGAATGCTGTTTCAAAGTCTTCTCCACACCATCACTCAGGTAATCATGGTAGATTAGTATGAATGTTGTCATATTGGTTCTGCTGTTAATGTGTTTTTCACTCCATAAGTGCAGTGGCTGCCTGGAACTTGGGGAAGACGTAGGCTATATATAATGTATAATTATGTATAATTTCAGTTACATTGAATAAAATGCTAGCCTGCATTGTGACACTCAGTACTCAGATTGAATAGACAGGCACTGACACCTCCTACATTATAATCAGACAGACCTGCTATAGTCTTTAAGTGGGCATTTTGACATTTGACCTCATGTATGAAAAACACTTTTAGCCTGATGGATACTCAATGCCTGTACTGGAACAGTAATGAGCAGGAAGTTAAGAGAAGCTGAAGTCCCAAGGGAAACAGACTGACACGCACCACTGCATTTGTACATTTTATAGAACAGTAATTAGTACTGAACAGACTATAGGAAGCCACAGTGTGCATATGTGTGTGTTTAATTTTGTGTCAGCATTGGTGTGGCTGATTTTGTACAAGCGCACCGGTGTGTGACAGTGCTCATCTTGGTGAAAAAAACAGTATCAACAAACATTTTATGAGACTTTATGAAAACGAGGCGCCATCAAGTTAAATTACAATCATGATTTCCATCCAGCCTGAACAGCCAAACACCGTCTGTGGCAGAACTTCATTCTGGACCAGCCTCACTGTGAGCACACAACATGCCAACTTCTGACACACACCTGAAAAGTATATACTTTTCCTTATTTTTGTTTTTATAAGCTTTATTTATTTATTTATTTTTA